CTCCTGGCAAAGCTGCACTGAGTTCGGTAATAACTGTCTGGCTGCCGGGTCATGTTATCCGCAGGGAGAGAGCTCCTGTCTTTACCGCCTTAAAGGTCTAGTCCATCCAAAATCGAGGTTTCTGTGTTTGCTGGGTGGTGGAAATTTCATTCTATCTCTCAAGGATTCAATTGGTGAATATTTCCAGTTCTGAACACCTGCTGTACCCATTATAAGGGGTTCCCGCCATCCCCAAGCTAAATTCCTGGGCCTGCACACCTACTGTGTCTATTAGTAGGGCCTTCCGCCATCCTTCAGCTGAGTTCCTGGGTCTATGCACCTGCTTTGCCCAATATGAGGGGCTCCCACCAGGTTGGCACACCTGTTGTGTCCATTATGAGGGGTTCCCAGGACTTGATACCTACTGTACCCATTTTGAGGGGTTCCTGCCATCCTTGAGCTAGGTTCCTGGGTCTGCGCACCTATTGTGTCCATTGTGAGGGTTTCTCAGGTCTGTACACCTGCTGTACCCATTATGAGGGGTTCTTGCCATCCCTGAGCTTAGTTTCTGGGTCTGTACACCTGTTGTGTCCATTTTGAAGGGTTCCCACCATCCCTGCACTGAGTCCCTGGGTCTGTACACTTGCAGTGCGGGTTATGAGGGTTCCTGCTTATTTTAAAAGGGGCCAGTTCCAGGGCTGTCATTTTTATCCTGATTACCTAGTAAGTCACTGATGTGAGAACAGCATGTGGTCTGAAAAATATAAACCCCAGTTCTACATACTAGTTTCAGGTCAGCAACTCACTTGGTAGTGAAGACTATATGATGAGGACAGCCCTGGAACATGCATCTTGGAAAGCAAGTCAGTAAAAGCAGCTCCTATTAAGGAAAACAACATGCCTTTCTCTTATTGGCTCTTGTTAAAGCTGAGAAAATATTGTGTATTTACAAGTGGCATGGTATTTCTTCCAGATTTGTGCAGTAATCCAGTGTGAAAGTTTACCTCTGTGCAGGAACTTCCTGTAATAAAGACCTGTTCCTGCTGCTCTCTCTCCTTGTGCAGGGTGACTGGTCTTGTCTCCACCCCTCCCGTAGTTTTCTGCAGGGCAGCCTGTAGTGGGGGGGGTCTGCTGGGTCCCTCCCACAGCTCTCCCACAAATTTCTGACAGTATCAGCCCCTGCTAAAGCCTCTCACCTTGTGACTTGCTTCAAAGTTCCAATGTTGCAGTCTGATCACTGATGGAGTTGAGACTGAGGAAATGCTCCCTCCTACCTGCAGCAGACTAATGACATCATTTCAGCATAGGTAAAGTCACTGATTGGACCTCAAGGATGATTTTTGTATTGATAGAGGTGGAGTTTTTTCTGATAATATGATACTTGCTGTATATTGAGACACAAGACTTGTAACTTTGCTGAAAGGTTTGCTTTAAATGCTCAGATCTCTTGTTTTAGTTCCTAAAAGATCTATAATACAGGCAGCGGTGAGATCTTTGAGGTATGTAAATAGACTAAACTCACAAGAGGATTTCTCATAAAGCGTTTTGCGGTACAGAGCCGTGAACTGATATGTGACAACAAGGAAGTGCCTCCCTCCCGAAACCCATTAGGATGTTCTGTACGATCTGGAATCTTATTCCTGGAATTATTAACCTCCCTACAATAATATGTATGTCCTGTCAGTGTGCCAAACAAAATGACACACCATAAGCACAGCATGGATAGTAAACACAGGGAGTGTTTTCAAGTCACTGCAGATTAAAGCCGAACTTCAAAATAAGCAAATGTCATCTAAATACAAGAGTCCTGTGTATTCTTACCTGAATCTGGGTGTACTTTGTGTATTTCCTCCAGATTTGTATAGTAATCCAGTTTGAAGGTTTCCCTCTGTGCAGGAGCTTCCTGTAATAAAGACCAGTCACTGCTGCTCTCTCCTTGTGTAAAGTGACTGGTCTGGTCTCTGCCCCCTCCCGTAGTTTTCTACAGGCAGTCTGTAGTGGGTGGAGCCTGCTGGATCCCTCCCGCAGCTCTGCTCTATGCACAGGCTATGTACAGCAGAGTGTCAGTGATACTTTTACAAGGTATTATCTGGGATTGCAAATGCATTTGGTGCATACAACTTGGATTTATATCCTTTGCAGCTAATGAAGTATATATAAATGAAAATGATTGCGCTTGGTCTACTGTTGTAAAGCAAATCTAAACCGTACACAGATGACATTTGATTTACAGAGTATCATGAATAATTACCATGGTTTTATTTTTGATAAAATACTTTTTTTCTTTAAAGTGTCACTAAAGGTAAAACTTTTTTTTTCCATTTTTGGATAGAGTAAGGGAGGGTTATAACCCACGTCAGTTTTTTTGCCATCCGTGTTCCATTGTGGAGATGTTCCCCCACTTTCTGTAAAACAGGAAATAGAAATGGACGCACAAGCCTTGAACATTAACTCAGTGATAGTCTTTTATTATTAAAATCAAACAGATATATATTCATAAACATCAAGATTCACAAGCATACCATGACCGAAACTGGTCCAGGGTACCTAGAGTGCTGAATGAGTCCAAACACCAGGAAAACATTCGAAGAATGGTTGACGCGTTTCCAGGGGAGATCCCCTCTCTTTCTCCGAACCTCAGATTGGCCCCAAACATGTATAAAATAACACCAGTTAAAGCGGAACTAAACCCTCCTATCCTTTTCAGCTGTAACACTACCCCCGCAGGAGCTGCTGGTAATATCGGGCCCTTTGCTTCTTTTCTGGCCTTAGCTGCAACCTCCCTCTTACTGACACCACCAAAATACCTTGGCTGGGAGCCCCCAGCGGTTACACAAGAATGGCATACACACTAACCTTTGGAAAATAAGATTACATTGACAGACCAAAATGAAAAGATAACACAGTGAATCAGTATTTCAGTGTCCGTACATGAAAAATGATGCAATACAAATACAATGCAGTTAACCTGGGTACCTTTTAAGAAGCACCAAGATTATAAACAGTAGCTGTCTGACTGGGAGAGTACGCCTCAAGTGACTGTGGATACCTAACAATAAGAATGGCAGGCTAATTCATTTGAGGGCTCTCAGTCTGGAGGGGCCAGGCGTATACCGGAAAGTTTGTTATATACTACCAGCAAACCAGCGCTATCACCAGGCTGGCTACAAGATCTAAACAGTTCTTTAATGTTAACTTCTGCCAGCTCAGTTGGGGCCCTTTAACGTTGGCGTGCAAAACAATGAGATTCTTCTAGGATGTAGAGTTCAGAAAAAGATTAGATGTAAAGTTGGTGTACCCCTAAAAATCAACTAAGCAAAGGCAAACACCTTTTAAAGGAAGGGGAGTACAATGCTAAAGAGAACTGGTGGGAGTTTAAGATTGGGATGTCAGGCAAGAACTTGGGATGCACAGGGGCAATCAACATTAGCAGTCTGGATTTGTGACAGCTTTAGGAGCAATCTGTGACATTGATAGCTGCAGCTTTCAGTAGTGAATAACCGCAAATGTGTTTGGCTCCTATTGGGAAACAATGTCCGTGTACAGCCAGATCTGCAGAGTGAGCAAAAATTAGCGGTTGATTAAAGCAACTGTGTGGGTCAGTCCTTATGCAGCAGTCCTTAAAAGACTATGAGCTGTCCATGCGGTGGGGGCCCGCTTAAAGGGGAAGACCCACTTGTCTGCCTCCCCCCCCCCCCCTTCTGCTGCCACATTTGGCACCTTTTGGGGGGAGGTACCCACTTCCGGCTCAGTTCGCTGCAGCGAACTGAGCCAGAAGTTTGGCCCCCCTCTGTCCCCTCGCAGCCTTCTGGGACACAGGTCCCAGAAGACTGTGGCCCATTCACAAAGTGCATCGTGTATGTACAGTAGGAACCTGGCTGCCAGTTTCCCTTAGTCAGGATGGCGGCGCCAGCACCTGATAGCCGATTGAAGAATCGGCTCGGTGAGGACAGCTCTGCATGCCTGGACAGGTAAGTGCCCCTATTTGTAGCTGCTGACTTTTAATTTTTTTTTGGGGGGGGCAGACTTCTTCTTTAAGTGACGATACAGTTGCAGCGATCAGGGTGGATGTAACTCAGCAATGCATCTATATGATAAAGAATCTCCCTTGGGTTTCACGGCTCAGCGTTCAACACAACAAGCTGCTTCGAGGCTCTATGGAATGCAGTCGGGTTTAGTCTGGTCTAAGCAGCTCTGCTCAGCACAGTTCCACACACACCTTCCCTGTTGCCGAACCTACCCCAACTCCCTGACTCCTTCCCAGGCTTTTTATTTTATATTGTTCCTCCCCTGGCTGGTGCTTGTAGGCCTTGTAGTTTTGACTTCAGCTCTACTGTGTGCAAGATCCTCCTTTGAGACTACATCTCCCAGATTGCTCTGGGCACTGGTATTAGGGCTATAGCCAGGCAAAGTAGTGGTCACTGCCATCTTGTGTTCATACAGAGTTCTGCGTCTTCAGTAACAGTGGCCAGTGTTACACAGCCAAGGACTTTGCCACCTTAGCATTTGTTTATATGCAACAGCCATGGTTCTGCACATGAAATCAGTTATAACTCCAGCCATTTGATGGTGTGACAGTTTGATTGAGAGAACAAGCAACTCTGACAGTTGGCACTCCTGGCATGCCGGGAATGTAGCAGTTTTTTTTAAACTAATAAATTGATGGGTTTAGTTCCACTTTAATGCAATTATGTATTTATTAAAAAAATTTAAAGAGTTTAAAATGTAGTTAGTATAACTATTTAGAGGTTTCTGTAATCAATTTTCTATTATCCTCTGTACTGTAAAATTCAGACTAGCTATTGAGCTCTAACTGTAGCAGAGAAAAGTCAGTAGCTCGCTGTGTAGCAGGCAGGGTAAATCTTCGGACTGGTTGAACAAATCAAAAAAATCCTTAAAGAGTTATATAAAATGCTCCCATGTATGTATTTCAACTGTGTTCAGTATTTGTCTAGAGTTAAGGGATATTTTCTGTAGTGCCTCCAGCACCTTACATGTTGCTGATAAATCTTTTTTTCTCATGACAGATACCCTTATTATGGAAGCGAGCCAGTGTCTGGCAGTGTCCAGTATTCTGGGTCCTATGCCGAGCTCTGTCTCCTCCAGATCCTTTAGCCCACAACAGTTGGAGTATTCCCGCAAGAGGAAGATCAGCGAGACCGATAGTCTGTAAGTCCTCCTGAGATAAAACACATTGAATTAGAGTCTGTATTGTCCAGATTGGGAAGTATTTTTGTAGTTCTAATGTAACTTTATCACTTTTCAATACTGTTCCATATTTTCATGATTGCATTTTACTTCTTAATGTGGACCTTGGCCTTCAGGCAAGGTCCAAATATGTAATGATGCCCCTCTCTTCCCTACTTAAATGCTGCTTAAAAGTGCAAAACCTGTAGGGTGGGGGTGGGTGTGGGTGTGGGGGGCAATAAATATAAAGTAATACTATTGAAGATAATAAAGTGCACATTTTTTTTCACATTTCTAATAGAAACGTTGCATTTTTTAAAAAACATTTAGTGTATTTTGTTATATTAATTGGAATGCAACAAAAGCTAGCTAACAATACAAAGTATGAAAAGCGGAGGTAGGAATGGTATAAAAAAAATGGGGAAAAAACAAATCAAAATGGAAAAAAAAACAAATCGTTAAGCCAGCCATATGTGGATGGTCCCTGCTGAACCAGCTGCATTTTGATCCATGTATGGAAAGGGAGATTGTACAGACCGATCGACTTCAGTACAACCTCCCTGTCAGATTTTCCCCACTCAATCAGTGCCACCGTCTATATCCGGCAGGGAAGATCACTATATTCTGATGAAAGGGAAGTCTCCCTGCTGTCAGAACACACGAGCTCAACAGAGAGGATTCCCCCAGCCACCTCAAATGTGTGGATGGAGAAATGACTCTGCTTGAATGTCAAAAAAAAAAAAGACTCCTGTATAGGGTGCCAGATAGATGACAATGTTCGTGTTATCTAGCCATGAAGCTGACCCACTTTCTCCCGTTAGCTAATGATGTTCAAACAGTAAAAAGTCTTCCAAGTGAAAGATCAGACATCACAGCCCTCCCTCTTTCCCCCTTTCAGTTTGGGGACCTCTCTGTAGACTGTTGAGGCTTCTGCATTGCAGTGTGTGTGTGTTGTGTAGAAACCTAAATCTCATTTTCATGGTCTGGCCATAAGGACTTCAATCTAATTATAAGTTTTATTAGCATACGCTGTTTTTGTCATGGTAGGTACCCTTTGGTTTTGCATAATAATTTCATATAACCGGTCAGCTTATTCTGTGTTTAAAGATTGTGTTATTTGCCCTCTGCAGAACCACAGACGGAGCTGAAACGAATGATCTGCAGAGCAGGTAAAAATCTTCAATTTATTCTAAGTGGTTTTATATCCCTTCACCCAACTTAAGGTGGCTCCAAATATGTAGATCATATGTATGATCATATGAACGATCATTCAATGCAACTAAAATGATCGCACTCAAAAATTTCAAACCAAAGATTCTCCATTTGATTGATTTTATTATGCTGGGTATTAATTCCGACTCTGCCAACACAATCAGCTGTCGTTATTTGTTAATCACCTAAACAAATATCTGCATGTATTGGGAGAACTGTTCATAATTTAGATCCATTAAGTGATGATTTCTGTTTGTATACATTTATAACGGAAATATCCTACTTTTCAAAGTAAGGGACAATGTATGAGTGATAGATCACTGGTTTGTGATCGCTCGTATCTAAATCGGTCGCAAATCACTACCTGTTTGGCCACCTTTAGGAAACACTAACTCAATTATTGGAGTATGTATAAAAGGTGAAAAGTGAGCGCTATATTCCAGAGCAGCTGGGACACCAAAAAGGTACCACAACAACCTCCCAGAACCAAAATATAAAATAAAGGTGCAGCGCTTATATAAATAACATTTAAAATGAGAAATTATCCAGCAATATGAATCACGTAATAAATACCTTGTATACATCAATTCAGCAATAATATGAAATAAGATAAAAGGCTGAATAAAAATTATAACAACCAATCACTCAGCAAAGTGAAGATTCGTGCATAAAGTGCCAAAAGTCCACATATATTAGCAAATGTGAAGTCTAATAGTGAGATATCTGATTAGGAGTGATCCCTTCCTTAATCTTCAGGTGAAAATCAAGTAATAAAATTGTGCACTCGCCAGATGTGCACTTTCATTGCGCATTTGAGAACACAATATCCAGAAGGTCAGCTGGAGCATCTTATGGGGCCTCTAGAACCTGGTATGAATTCCTCACTGGATAGACCGTAGATGACAGTAACTTCCCTCTCCTTCTCAAGAGACTCTGTGGGTGGTTAGACTCATCAAGAGCCCAAGAAAAGGATGCCACATAGCGTGATACTGGTTCAAAGGTTTTTAATAATCCAGTCACAGGTACAATAGAAAGCAAACAAAACAAGACCAATTGACCATGTGTGTTGATAAGATGGCCGCTGGACCAACAAAGGGCCTTGGCGGCGTGACGTCACAGCTTTGTAGCTCTTCCTCTTAGGGAGGAGCTACAACGCTGTGACGTCACGCCGCCGAGGCCCTTTGGGGATCACTCCTAATCAGATATCTCACTATTAGACTTCGCATTTACTAATATGCAGTCAGGTCCATAAATATTGGGACATCGACACAATTCTAACATTTTTGGCTCTATACACCACCACAATGGATTTGAAATGAAATGAACAAGATTTGCTTTAACTGCAGATTGTCAGCTTTAATTTGAGGGTATTTACATCCAAATCAGGTGAACGGTGTAGGAATTACAACAGTTTGCATATGTGCCTCCCACTTGCTAAGGGACCAAAAGTAATGGGTCAATTGGCTTTTCAGCTGTTCCATGGCCAAGTGTGTGTTATTCCCTAATTATCCCAATTACAATGAGCAGATAAAAGGTCCAGAGTTCATTTCAAGTGTGCTATTTGCATTTGGAATCTGTTGCTGTCAGCTCTCAAGATGAGATCCAAAGAGCTGTCCCTATCAGTGAAGCAAGCCATTATTAGGCTGAAAAAACAAAACAAACCCATCAGAGAGATAGCAAAAAGATTAGGCGTGGCCAAAACAACTGTTTGGAACATTCTTAAAAAGAAGGAACGCACCGGTGAGTTCAGCAACACCAAAAGACCCGGAAGACCACGGAAAACAACTGTGGTGGATGACCGAAGAATTCTTTCCCTTGTGAAGAAAACACCCTTCACAACAGTTGGCCAGATCAAAAACACTCTCCAGGAGGTAGGTGTATGTGTGTCAAAGTCAACAATCAAGAGAAAACTTCACCAGAGTGAATACAGAGGGTTCACCACAAGCTGTAAACCATTGGTGAGCCTCAAAAACAGGAAGGCCAGATAAGAGTTTGCCAAACGACATCTAAAAAAGCCTTCACAGTTCTGGAACAACCTCCTATGGACAGATGAGACCAAGATCAACTTGTACCAGAGTGATGGGAAGAGAAGAGTATGGAGAAGGAAAGGAACTGCTCATGATCCTAAGCATACCACCTCATCAGTGAAGCATGGTGGTGGTAGTGTCATGGCTGCCAATGGAACTGGTTCTCTTGTATTTATTGATGATGTGACTGCTGACAAAAGCAGCAGGATGAATTCTGAAGTGTTTCGGGCAATATTATCTGCTCATATTCAGCCAAATGCTTCAGAACTCATTGGACGCCGCTTCACAGTGCAGATGGACAATGACCAAAAGCATACTGCAAAAGCAACCAAAGAGTTTAAGGGAAAGAAGTGGAATGTTATGCAATGGCCAAGTCAATCACCTGACCTGAATCCGATTGAGCATGCATTTCACTTGCTGAAGACAAAACTGAAGGGAAAATGCCCCAAGAACAAGCAGGAACTGAAGACAGTTGCAGTAGAGGCCTGGCAGAGCATCACCAGGGATGAAACCCAGCGTCTGGTGATGTCTATGCGTTCCAGACTTCAGGCTATAATTGACTGCAAAGGATTTGCAACCAAGTATTAAAAAGTGAAAGTTTGATTTATGATTATTATTCTGTCCCATTACTTTTGGTCCCTTAACAAGTGGGAGGCACATATGCAAACTGTTGTAATTCCTAGACCGTTCACCTGATTTGGATGTAAATACCCTCTCAAATTAAAGCGGACAGTCTGCAGTTAAAGCACCTTTATATTATATTTCAATTATTGGAGTGTCCTCCTCCTTCTTCTTTTTTTTTTTTTTTTTTTTTTTTTTTATGTTTTGGCCACCAGGACAGCTGTTTCAAGATTAGGTGGGTTACCATAGTTAAATAGTTAGCCAGACGAAACTATTAGACACAAATAAATATTCCTACATCTTCAAAGCAGTACGCAAGCAGTTGATTCAAAACAAGGAAAATAAACCCTAGTTTGGTTAAGTATGGTCCAATTTGCTCCAACTGGGCAAAATTTCTCTCTTGATTTTCTAAGGCAATTAAATGCTCCCATAGCAACAGTCTACAGTGTTATTTTTTTTTTAGATAATGCACAAAATAAAAGTTAATATTTATCATAATTTGGCTTCCTTGCAGAGAGGCTCACAGCCAGACTGAGAAGCGGCGGCGGGATAAAATGAACACATTGATTGAGGAATTGTCCGCCATGATCCCGCAGTGTGACCCCTTACCCCGTAAGCTTGACAAGCTAACTGTCCTGCGGATGGCTGTTCAGCATTTGAAATCACTGAAGGGTAAATATTGGTTTCCTTAGGTTATTGTAAAAGTAAGGCCTTGCCTCTGAGGGATTAATGTATGTGCTGGTACTCACTTGTATTCACTCTTTGTCAGACAGAAGTGTTAGCTTACTGGCAGGCTGTAAGGCTATAGTATCTGTTTCCTGCCTGAGCTCAGGGCTGATAGTTTGACACTTTCTCCAGGCTGCTCATAAAGGGCTAAAACTGTCCAGTAAAGTAAGTCTAAATCCCAAAAAACAATGTAATTTCTTTCTCATTCATTGAAGGATACAGGAAGTTATTCACTTTTAGGCTATACTGCTGCCTACGGGAGGATCAGACACGGGCAAACAAGAAACTGTGGGCAGCCTAGGATAACCCAACCCATTACCAGCAGACTTCAGTTTTTCTTGTAGTGTTCTGGGAGGATGGATGTATTTTATTCAAGCACTGTTCTGTTAAAGACTAACTTGATTTTGCTGCACTTTCAGTTTTCGGCCCTGCCATTCAGCCTCTGCACATCGAGTGTTCACCAAAGTGCTGCCGTCCAGTACTAGCTCTGCTGCATTCTCTTAGTATCCTCTTTGTGGGATACTTAGACAACCTGTTCTTAAAGGAACAGTCGGCACAGGCTCTGTTGGCCAGTGTCGCCTTGACTGTTCAGGCATAACAATGTTTTGGATGGATCTTGAGCCTTCTGAAATTAAAATTGGAACCAGCTTATTGTTTGGAGTATCTGGTTCTAGTTATAGACATAGCTCAGACCAAAGTATTTCTCATCCTGGAGGAACTTAAAACTCTCTGATCCCAAAATCATGTTCTTCAGTCCTGGAGTTGACCGACTCACCACTTGAGAGCCCTGGGTCTGGTGGTAACCTTCTTCGAGGCAGTTCCATTTGCCCAGTTTCACTCCAGACCTCTATAATACAATATACTGTTGTCATGGGATATGTCAGTCCAGTCTCTGGACAGACCAGTTTGCTTGGCACAGAGGACTAGGTTGTCCCTGGTTTGGTGGCTCAAGAAAGCTGTGGAACTGGGGGAATTTCTTCCTTCCTTCCTGTTTTTAGGAAGACTCTCAGGATAGATGTCTGTCTGTTGGGCTGTGGAGGAATCCTGAGCACCCTGTTAGTGCAAGGAGACTTGGTTGTAAGATAAAACTTGTCTCCTGATCAGCATTGTGCTGCTTTGGGATAGTTGGCTGCCCCTGAAGCATTGTGCCTTACTGCTAACATCCAGATTCAGTGGCATACATCATCTTTCATGGATGAACCAGACGTCTCACCGTGGCAAGGTAGGTACAGCAGATCCTGACCTGGGCAGAACTTGACATTGCAGTCTTGTCTGCTGTGTACATCCCAGGAATGAACAATTGGCCATTAAAATTCCTCAGCTGGCATTATCTGGACATAGAGGAAGTAGTCTCTACACCCAGAGGTGTTCCAGAACCAGTGTCACAGGTGGGAGTTCCTGGATGTAAACCTCCTGGCCTTCAGGTTCAACAGCAAACCAAAGAAGTTTGTCTCCAGGTACAGGGATTCTCTAGCAGAAGGAGTTGATGCTCTGGTGGCTCTGTGGGATCTGTACACCCAAGCTATGCCTTTTCTGCTCTAAACTTTTTTGTTTTTGCTTCGCAGGATCCATGTTGCTAAATTTTTTCCCAGGTGGATGTGGTACTGTGATCTGTTAAGGATTCTGGCGAAAACCCTTTGGGCTGTGGGTGGAAGTTGGTCCAGATATTTTGTCTGAAAGATGGATTTACCATCCTGCTTCTTAGAGGCTGGCTTAAAAGGCAAGACTGCTGAAGCCCAATTTTTGAAAGAAAGAGTCATCTCTGAGTCTGTAATACCTTCTTCAGAATTACTTCTTTTTTATTATCATCCTGAATGTTCCCCGTAAGGGTGTTTTAGCTTTTCATTGCACCATCTACCAGACTATCATTCAAGCTTGTGGTCATAATGATTGGGTTCCATCCTATCCTGTCAAAGCACATTCTACTGATCTGTGAGTGTTTCTTGGCCTTTAAAGATCAGGCTACTGTTTCTGAGATTTGCAAGGCTGCCCTCTGTTTACACGTACTCTTAAGTTCTACCAGGTAGATGTTCAGGCCTTGTCTTATACCAGCTTTGGGCTTAAGGTCCTTCAAGTGGCTGTTTGCTCTGTAAGCATTTCCTGGTTCTTTTTTTTTTTGTTCTTGGATCTGTTAACATTTGTTGCTGTGTGGCCTACCCCAGAGTTGAACTGGTTTTTCACATCCTGAAAATGAATGACTCCCTGTGACCTTCAGTGAACAAGAAAGAAAATAGGACTTTTCTAGGAGTCCATTGGGGGACATAGGACTCACCCTTACCTGTTTTATAACATAAATATGGATTGCTACAAAACTGAGGCATGCTGGTAGTGGGAGAGGTTATGCTTGACTGGCCTAAAGTTTTTTTGTTTGCCGTTGTCTAATCACTCTGTAGGCAACAGTTAAACTTGAACTTGAATGACTTCCTGTATCCCTCGATGGACTCTAAGAAAGATCTTATGGTGCATACAAAAACCTGTATTCAGTTTGCCATTTCTTAAATTTGTTGCCTGCATTAGTCTTCTTTTTTCAAGCTTTTTATCCTTTATTTTTTACCTGGTGATGCTGCCAGAGTCTGCCAAGTCTTCAGACTTTTACATTTACTAAAAGGTCAACTATAAATGTTAGATTGTTATGTTTGGGGTGCCTCTATAATTGCTGAACTATAATTTGACCTCTGTGTTTCACTGCATCCACTTTTGGATACATTCCTGCTGTGGGGGGGAATGGGTTTTCCAGGAATAATTATGTTTTTTATACTTCTTGGCGCAGGTACTGTAAACTCAAGAACAATCTTGAGCAGTGTTAATCCTACGTGGTTGTAATCTCACTAGAAAAGAGCAGTATTGTTTTCAATGATGCTGATTCATCGAAACAAAAACCCTCTTCATCTTCTTCCAATTTAACTTAGCGACCAATTCTTAGGCGAGTACTGTGAGAATGCCAAACCCAACTTGATCACCGCCAGCTCGTGAGGAACTATAAGGAATTTGTAGAATTGATTGCTATGGCTTGAGACCAGCTGTGCAGGAGTATCATTATCTGAAACAATATGATGTCATTATTGGATGTCTCCTGCTAAACTGCTAAAAGGGCAGCAGAATGACATACATAGGAATGGTTTAAGTCGCACAATATTTGTAAAGTTACATATATATATTTTATTGAGACAACATGGCCTGCTCACAACCATAGCGCAGGTGTGTTGTGGTAACACATGCATTTTACAGCGACTGGCTGGTGTGAATGTACCTTTACTGTGTAATTTAGCATAGTATACAGTTCTTACAAAAAGTATTAACCCCCCCTCGTATTTTTAAACGTTTTATTATCATAGAAAATTGAATCTCAGCCTCTTTCATGGTAAAACAGAAACCATTTGCTGCAAAGTGGTTTAAAGTTAAAGCTTAATATGCTTATATTTTGCATTCTGTGGCTGTTCCCTCCCCCTGCAGCAACATATTAATGAAACTTTTGAATAATACCTGTCTGCTTTCAATGAATATCATTTTTATGATACACCTAGAACGTTCTCCCTGGGTCTCTCTGCTTCTGTATGCATTGCAGGCAGATCATGGCTTCTGGGAGGGGTCAGCAGGGTGCTGTAGCATAACTTCCTGAGAACATCACTGGCTCTCTACCATGTAATGCCTGTGATGACCAGTCATAGCTCTCATAAATGTAAAGAGTGCATTGCTGAGCCTGCCTCTTCCTTTTACAGTGAAGGAAGCAGCAACTAAGCCCTACCTTATCAGCCCTACCTTATTCTGCACTTCTGTGTATAAACTCCCTTTATGGGCCCTTTCATACTGCTCAGTTTTTGATGCGTTTTTGTTCAGTTTAAGGGCCCTTTCACACTAATGTGCTTTTGATGCCTTTCCATTGACTTACAATAGAAAGGGCTTTTGGAAAAAACTGCACCAAAGATGCAGCATGCAGGTGTTTTCATAAAAATGACTTGGTAATGAAGGGATATTACAGAATAGTACTTAACGAAGAGCTCCAGTCGTTTTTGTGTTTTATTGAAAGTAAAAACTTTTAATAAACACACACTCACTTGTCCCAGGATACCCCCCCCCCCCAAAAAAAAAAAAAACAAAAATGCATGCCAAATGTGGAAGGGGAAGAGGGGAGGAGAACCTAAAGCGGAACTTCCCCTTTTTGGGTGGAGCTGCGCTTTAAGTGGTACCTCTATTAAGAGTTCACCTCATTGGTCACCTCAATTATGGGTCGCCATTGCTGGTGTTATTCTGATACATAGCCTGCGGTGCTCTATATTTGGTAAGAAGTGTTTGGATCGATAACTCAGCAGATGTGGGTGGAGTTGCTAAATTTAGAGTGGGGAGAGAGGTAACATTTTCATTTTTGGATGCAAAGGTGGAGATTCCCTTTAACTTTACTAGCTTTGACTGTCTTTCCCTTCAGCTAAAATATGTATATGCAGTGGCGTCCCCAGGCAGGTGCGGGTGGTGCGGGCCGCACCAGGTGACACCTACCGCACGGGGTGACACCAGACCCGCTCCACGAAAAGGTAAGTTGTAAAGCAAGCTGATGATCCCCACAGGATGGATCCGATCGTATAGGTTGTAGGCTGATGATCCCCGCAGGATGGATCGGATCTACGGATTGGGGAGCATAACGGATCGGACTCCGATCCATTATGATCAATCCGCAGATCCGAACCATCCTGCGGGGATCGTCGTCGTGCAACCTATACAGGGTGACACCGGACCCGCTCCCACACAAAGGGAAGTTGGAATGCAAGCCAACTATACGCGCAGGGTGGATCGGATTTGTGGATTGGGGAGCATAATGGATCGGAGTCTAATCCATTATGCTCAATCTGCAGATCCGATCCATTCTGCGGGGATCGTCGGAGGGGGTGTCACCAAGTGTTAACGCACCGGGTGACACCAACCCTGGGAAACCTTTCATTTCAGTACTGCAGTTAAGCAACACAGCTTGGTCATTGACCTACCCCCAGCCTGGTGAATGGACAATGAAAGAGTAGTAGATCGGTGACAAAGTCATCCCTGAGCTTTTGCTTCCTGTAGCATGTTCATTGTTTAGGTGATCTATAGAAAGTGGAGGGTGGTTTGATGATCTGTTACCACCTTTGAACATGTGAGAGGGCTGGTGGGATCTTAAACATAAACCCATTCAAATCATATCCTGTCAGTTAGACCCTCACATTGACCCACTGTGAGTAAAGTATGTTACTCTTTTCCATTGCATGCAAGAGTGGTGTCAGGAGGAGGTATGGTCCCCTTGAAGGACATCTCAGCCTGAGAAGCCCCTTGGATCTCCCAAACAAATCTGTCATTCCAGGTGCCTCTGTAAGTGTGTCACCTTCGTGTAAGCTGGACATTGCACATGAATAGCTTAAAAAAAACACACATTTTTAAAGTAATTTTGCAAACATTATTTACAGGTGATTATTATTTGAACTTCATGTGCAGCCTGGACAAAGTGGACATTGCACCATGAAGCATGTTGGATAGCATGTGCAAGATTATCTATGATGTATGCTGTGGAGTTGCAATAGGCTTTTTCATGGTTGTGACACATTGTGATCAGTGGTGTATTTAGGTTTTGTGCTGCCCCAGGCAATCTGTAGCCAGGTTAAATGCCCAGTAGCTGAAGGCTTACCATTCTCATGTTATATACATATCACATTTTCATTTCAGGTTCCAGCAGCTCGTTCACAGAGGAGAGTTACAAGCCATCATTCTTGCACCAGGACGAGCTCAGACACTTAATCCTAAAGGTCGGTAACCAGTTTTTTTTTTTTCTTTTGGTGAAAGCAAGAACATTTACTGCAGGGCAAATCCCAGGTGCATTTTAATGCCTATGCCACAGTAGAGTGGTGGATTTTCCCTATTTAATTTCACATCAAGCAAGTGTAGTGATTCTGGCTCTGTAAGCTAGCACAGATTGCCTGAAGTGCATCAAGGAGCTTTCTAGATGAATATACACTAATAAATGAGGCTGAATTTTGGATCTCCTGTAGCTTTGGAAAATCTTGTATTCATCCAGTGCACATACTGAACTTGCCTTTACTCCCACTCTGCTTTGTTTAGCTACCTGGAGCAAGGCAAGGAAACCCCGTGTCAGTTCTTCTCAGAGCTTACCCAGGGTTAGGACTGTGTCCCCCACCTTCATGTGATAGTGCTGTGCCCAATCACAAAGCACATGCTCTTCCATACCTGGGAGTACCGGGTGATTTCTTTGCTCTCTGTGCTACCTAAATTAAGCAGTAGGGGTGGGGGATGAAGGAAGGATAAGTATTTACTGATGGGTGGAAGGGTCCATTACAGGAAAACCTGTTGCTTTGTTCTGCATGGATAAAACAAAATTTGCTTTAATATCACAGATCAAGTTCACTATGAAGTATACCTACTGAATCCTATATATCTTATGAATCCTTAGTTGTGGTGGCTACATTAGTTTTCATAATTGTTTCCAAGGTAAATTTTCTGCAACTGCAGAAAATAAGTTTTGGTCCTGCCAGAAATTCAGCGTCCTTGTGTTTGTGTTTTTGGCTTTCTGAGCTAACTTCTGTGAACTTCACGACCCATCCGCTCTATGTAATGGAAAGGAGATATTTCTCTTTGTTGATACAAGCTGAACACAGTCCAATTTAATTTCCTAATTTGAGTTTTCTTCCCCAGTCCAATAAGCTCTCTTTGTTTTCCAGGCAGCCGACGGCTTCCTGTTTGTGGTCGGATGCGACAGAGGAAAAATCCTGTTTGTGTCTGAATCCGTCTCAAAGACGCTGAAGTACAGCCAGGTACGTGATCCCGTCTGCCCAGAGCCACCATGTCTCCTGACCTCGTTTTCTCTGCCGTGAATCCCAGTGCAAATCCAGCGTTACCGTAACCCAGAAATACAAGTGAAATTTGTGAATGCCTGGCCTAGTTTAACGAGAGGCGCGGGATGTTTGTGGGGACATTGTTCTCTGCAGGGAGCTCTTCATCCACCAAATCAATAGCAAGATGGGAGTAATTATCGAAGAATTAAAGTCAGATGGGGCTGTGACACATTGCGCCATTAATAGGTCACTAAACATGAAACAAAGATGGGGCTGTGACACATTGCGCCATTAATAGGTCACTAAACATGAAACAAACGCTGATCTTATATGAACCGGTTGCTGGTAACATTAGCAGTTATAATTCTACCTTGAGAAAAAAAACCCATTTGTGAGAGAAGCATTGTTTAAGTGGACCTGTCATTAAAGTGCACACGTCACATAGTTTAATAGAACACACGTCAGCATCGGCAATTCACATTATTGTCTGGAGTTTAAAAAAAAGTACCTCTTTCTGACTGTAAATAGAAAAAAAAAATACTACTTCTAAACTCCTTCTGTGACATACAGCCTGGACAGAGATCACATATTCGATGACTACCATGAGCAGTGTTAGTGTTCTTGTTGTTAGAGACTGCAGGGTGTCTGTTGTTTCCAATCTGATAGACCCTGTGTGATAAACTTTACTGTACAAGGAAACAAGAATATTACAACATTAACACTCTAACCACAAGAATGTTCAAATATCCTGGACTCGTATCCCGCTTCCTTGACGACTTTTCCACCTGGCTACCCATCTTCCTCTCCTCTGAGCTACCCACCATCATCCTTGGGACTTCAATATCCCTATCAATGTCAACAACCCAGCTACATCCCAACTACTCCACCTAACCTCTTCTTTTTCACTCACACAGTGCACACAGTCCTCCACCCACACTGACGGGAACACCCTGGACCTCGTTTTCTCCCATCTCTGCACCCTCCACGACCTCACATACACCCCTTTCCCTCTCTCTGACCACAACCTCCATCTCCCCGTCCTCTAACACCCCCCCCCCCCCCTCAAACCATCCATCACCAGCCGTAACCTGAACCCAGCCCCTCTCCACTCTGCAGCTGACCGTCTGTACGACAGTATCCTCCCACTGTCATGCCCTGACCTGGCCACTACTGCGTATAACAACTCGCTATCAGCTGCCCTAGACTCCTTAGCACACCTGACCACACGTAGCATTAGACCCCGACCGCTTCAACCCTGGCAGAACGACCACACTAAATATCTTAAACGATGCAGTCGTACGCTGGAGCGATTATGGCGTAAAACCAGATCCCCTCGAGTTTTCTCCCTCTACAAATCCGCCTTCCTCACCTACACCTCCTCCCTCCATGCCGCCAAACAAGCCTACTTCGTTACCCTCATCAATACCCTCTCCTCCAGTCATCGCCGACTCTTCTCCACCTTTAACTCCCTACTCTCTCACCCCCACCCCCACCCAGTACCTCACTCACCGCCCACGAGATTGCCAATCACATCCAAAACAAGATTGATGCAATCCGTAAGGACATTGCCAATGCTCAACCTACCTCCCCACCTAGCCTCCCTCCCACTATAACCCCATCAACTCTTCCCTCCTCTGACCTCGCAACCGCCCTGCCCCCCACCACACCTAACATCCCGCACACCTTATCCTCCCCAACACTCCGCTCCTTCAGCACTGCTACCACTGAGGAGGTCACTAAGGTCTTCTCAGAAGCCTGCCTCACCACTTGCCCCCTTGACCCTGTCCCCACAGAACTCCTCCGGTCACCCTCCTCCTCCTCCATCCTACGCTCCCTCACCCACATCTTCAATCTCTCCCTCTCCACTGGCGCATTCCCCTCCCCCCTAAAGCACGCGCACATCACTCCCATACTCAAAAAAACCCTCCCTGGACCCCACCGACCTGAACAACCTTAGACCCATCTCCCTGCTGCCATTTACTTCCAAGCTCCTTGAGCGCTTGGTCTACAATCGCCTAAGCGCCCACCTCACTGACAACAACCTCCTCGATCCACTACAGTCTGGCTTCCGTCCCCTACACTCTCACCGAAACCGCCCTACTCAAAAATCACTGATCACCTGCTAACCGCCAAAGCTAATGGCCACTACTCAGTCCTCTTAGTCCTCGACCTTTCCGCGGCCTTTGACACAGTTGACCACCCCCCTCCTCCTTAATAAACTACACTCCCTTGGCATCAGAGACTCCGCTCTCTCCTGGCTCTCCTCCTATCTATTCCAACGCTCCTTCAGCGTTACCTATAACGCCACTACCTCCCCCTCTCTCCCCCTCTCTGTTGGGGTCCCCCAAGGCTCTGTCCTTGGGCCCCTGCTCTTTCTACATCTACACCTCCTCCCTCGGCAAACTGATACATTCCCACGGCTTCAACTATCACCTCTACGCCGATGACACTTAAATTTACCTCTCCACCCCTCACCTCACCCCCTCAGTCTCCGCCCGTATCGCCCACCTACTGAACGACATATCAGACTGGATGTCGCTCCATTTCCTCAAATTGAACCCTTCCAAAACCAAGCTCCTAATTTTTCCCCCCAGCCCGTGCCCCCCCCCACCCTCTCCATCATGACCAACAACGCCACCATCAGTCCCACCCCACAAGCCAAAGTCCTAGGTGTCACTCTTGACTCAAACCTGTCCTTCCAACCCTATGTCCAATCGTTGGCAAACTCATGCAGGCTCCACCTCCGCAACATCTCCAAACTCTGTACGTTCCTAACCCCAGACACTACTAAACAACTCATTCACTCCCCTATTATCTCACGACTCGACTACTGCAACCCCCTCCTCACTGGCCTACCTCATCACAGACCATCCCCGCTTCAGTCTATCCGGAACTCAGCGGCCAGACTCATCCACCTTACTAACTGCTCCGTATCTGCCACCCCCCTCTGCCAATCCCTCCACTGGCTTCCGATTGCCCAACGCATTAAATTCAAACTACTAACACTGACATACAAAGCCATTCATAACGTTGCCCCAAACTACCTCACCGACCTGATACCCAAATACCACCTTACCCGTAATCTTCGCTCCTCACAAAACCTCCTACTTTCTAGCTCCCTGGTCTCCACTTCCCACGCCCGACTGCAGGACTTCTCCATGACTTCCCCCATCCTCTGGAACTCTCTACCGCAATCCATCAGACTGTCACCTTCCCTCCTCACCTTCAGGCGCACCCTGAAAACCCATCTCTTCAGGGAAGCCTACCCCACAATCACCTAATTGCTGATCTACACTCTACACTCCTCCTACTACTCCATCCCCCACAGCTACTTCCTCCTGTACCACTTTCCCCTCCCTCCCTAGATTGTAAGCTCGAAAGAGTAGTGCCCTCGAACCCCTTGTGTTTTGTCTTGTTACTGTATTGTCTCATGTACTGTCCCCCACTATAATGTACAGCTCTGAGCAAACCTTTTGACGCTATATATAAATAATGTATAATATAATAATAATAATAATAATATAATAATAAAAGGGAAATTATAATGTGTATAGGGAATGTTGAAAAAAATGTTGACACATCCCACTTCTACCCATTTTCATATTAAAAAAAAAAAAAATCCCCTCTGACGCTCTTTCTTTTACTCACGTGAGTCCACTGTCACGTTGCCTCTTCTACGTGTGGGGTCCCCGGCAATCCAGTGCTGAAATTCACCCCTTCGGCCAAAGGGTCTTGTTGCTGCTCCTTGTCCTCACCTTATTACACTGCTTCAGTCTTCTGGAACCTGAGAGAACCGGCCAGTGAATTGGAAGTTTCCATGTCGCAGAGGCAGTGACAGGGACAACCAAAGAAAGACTCTCTCACACTCCAGGCACAATACCTGGCTCTTTATGTAACCAGGGATTCAGATTTTGAGTATTTTTTTTTTAATAAAAGTGTATGTTACCCTGAATATTTTTGCTATGTGTGTGCTCACATATGTGTATTTTATAAATCAAAGCCTCTATCATTTTCTTGTACGTCTTCCATCTGAAGTACGCAAAGCACAGAAGTTGACCTGAGTTAGCATAGTCAGTTTAACTTTTTAGAGGTCCAAGACACTGTGCAGACACACATCATGCCTGTATTGGGAAGTTTGTTCAGCAGCCATGCCCCCTCCCAATCACAGCCTGCCTCTGGTACACATCCCCTCCCAATCACAGCCCACCTCCTAAACTAAGACCTATTTATGAGGCTGAAACGCATCAATTTGTAGGAATCGATTCCTTTTTATGGTTTGATGGATTAAGTAAAAATATCAGTTTTTAATGCCAATACTGGATTTTTCTCTCACCTCTTGAACATGACCCCCCCCCCCCCCCCCCCTCAGGCACAGCCTGCCTCTTCTTTCAGGCTGAACAGACTATGGGATGCAGGCAGACAATGTGTCTGCACAGTGTCTTGTAACCCCACATCCTACTGTCAGGAAGAAGTAATTTACGGTCGCATGGCAGAACTTTTTAACCGTGTAAAAAAATGTAAGGAAGATCATTTCTGAAACTAAGCAAAAACAGTTATGGCGTATGCGTAGTTATAACTGTATTTGAAATGGTTTATAATTTTAGCTTGTTCACAACTTCTTGTTTAATCCAGGGATTAGTTAGAGGGAGGTGGGGGCTAAAAAGTAATGGGGGAGAGTGTTTCTGGATATGAGCTTTACATTTTTTCTTAGATTTTTTTTTTTGAGCATTTGTACAGGCAGGTGTCTCGGACTTGAGCTACTTTTAGCCAATGCAAAGCTGGTTACTAGGGGAAAAAACTTGTGCGATGTGTATTTTCATGCGTGTTTACTCATTTTTCAGGTGCTCATAATAAAGTCTATTGGGGCCAAAAATACTTGAAACTTATAGCTCAAAAGAAGCTCATGTACTTTCTCAAACTAAAGACTTCAATCATCTTTTGGGGTTTTGGATGCTAAACATTTTGGAGCTTTGAGCTACAAAACCCTCATATGTGAATAGGGTCTAATGTAAAGCAACTTTAAAGAAATTATCCATTGCAGTGGTTCTGTGCCCACATTGCAAGGGTTACTTGCTTGTTTACATCTAGGCAAACAATTAAAGGAGAGTTTTTTCTGCTCCTACCACAGCTAAACCAGTCCTCACAGCATCTGCACACTCACTCTGAACCAGTTTAGAATTGTGACATAATCAAAACCAGAGCAGGGCCCATAGCCTTGCACTGGACATGAGGATGCCAAGGGACAGTCCAATTCTGGATTGGGAAAGGGGGTGCCACCTGCTGGGAGAGTGGAGACTTGGGTAACAGTTTTTCCTCCCCTAGACAAAACAAGCTATTAACCCTTGCAATACGGGCTGAGCCCCACTGCAAGGAATCATTTTTAGTTCCCTGTAGTTGGGCTTTAATGAAAGGAATGCACATAACAGGACTACAATGTGAGCAAAAGAATGGAGGTAGGCAAAAATGCTGAGAAATAGTGGGCAGCAGGGGCGGACTGACCATTTGGAAACTCGGGCACTGCCCAAGGGCCTGCGGTCAGTAAGGGGCCCCATGAGATGACCCTGGTACCTTTTTCATAGGCTTTTTTGAGTTTGGGCAAGGACACAGGGGCCCCATGATCCCCTATTGCCATGGGGCCCCATGAGTTGTCAGTCCGCCCCTGGTGGGCAGAGCAATATCCTCCAGCAATACTGAGTATTATAGGAGATGATGATAGAAGAAATAAATCCCCCATCATCACATAGTGTAATAAGAGGCCATTCACATTTCCTGAAAGATTGTTTAATGTAAATATCTCATTATTCTCTATAATCACTGTCGAAACACCATACATTATTCTTTTTCATTCTTCCTTTTTAGGCTGACCTGATAGGACAAAGTCTGTTCGATTATCTACATCCCAAGGATGTTGCCAAAGTAAAGGAACAGCTGTCCTCCTCGGACATCACCCCACGGGAAAAATTAATTGATGCCAAAAGTAAGTGAACTGTGCCTGTAGCTTACGCGCTTTTTCTTCAATTTCCCACAGCTGTGATTAGTCTAGGAGAGTCATGTGACTCACGTGACAAAGGAGACAAAGCGCTTTAAAGCAAAACCCACTAACTGCTATCTATATGTAAAATGGTCTAATGTAACAGCATAGCCACGTGCAGAGAACTTTCAACTCATCCTATAAAATCAGACACAATTTATGGACAGTTTAACTTTCATCGGCAGCATTCTGCCGCAGATTTTCTTTCTCGGCTCAATATATCTACAGTATATTCAGATTCAGAATACTTTATTTATTCCAAAGGGATTAATAAATAATTATTTCTTCTTAGTGTGGCTGACTCTTGAAATAGCCAAATACGCTTCAATAAATTATCAATTTCTTTCATGATCTATCTCTTCCGATGGGAATCTTTTGATATAGAGTCACCAACCCATTCATTCGATATGCTACACAAGAAGAAGTGGATTTTGATTGATAGCTAAGATACATTCGTAAGTTCCAATCCTAAATCATCAATCAGACCTCTGTTGCCACTATGCAATCTCATAGTCTGATCTATTGAAATATGATTGTATTGATGAAAAGAGTATTTCAGTGATGCCGATTCATACAAAGTGATCAATAATATTCTGCCCTGGCCAATTGACTTAAATTATTGGATACATTCTAAATTGAGTCCAGGTCAATTGGTTATGGCTGTTTGCAGATTTGATTGTATTGATCGAATCGCCCATCGGTTTGGTAATGAAATTAAAGCATGTATTGTATGGCCACCATTAGAGGCATAGGATCTACATAAATCTTGCCCGTAATTTTTTTTTTTTCTCTGCCAAGAAATAATTGTGACTTTCCTGAAATGACCTTGCAGTTGAGACATATGGCCATTTTAGATGTATTTGGCACTTTGTGGAGGTTTTTTTTTGCTGTCAAAGTTAAAGCTGAACTCTGGGCACAAAAACTTTTTTTATTTAAAAGGGTTCCTCAATAGCCAGCATGGATCTAAATCCATTTTGTGTGCACCAAATGCCTTTTCAAGTCCAGATAATTCCTTGTAAAAGTAGCATTGACATCATCACTGTGCTGTACATAGCCTGTGCAGAGAGCAGAACTGTGGGAAGGAACCATCTGGCCCCACCCACAAGAGGCTGCCTGCATAAACTAAAGGAGGGGGTGGAGACAAGACCAGTCAACCTGCACAAGGAGAGAGCAGCAGTGACCAGTCTTTATTACAGGAAGCTCCTGCACAGATTTACACTGGATTACTGCACAGATCTGGAAGAAATATACAAAGCACACTAAGATTCAAGTAAGAATACACATGACTCTTGTATTTAGACAAGATTTGCTTTTCCTGGAGTTCAGCATTAATCTTTAAAAGAAAAAAAAAAACTTTTGTTGTAAAATTTTCACTCGCTTTCAAGTTTGATGCTGTCTGCCTGTGGACTCATCATCTGTCGCTCCCTGCTATAATAAAAACTAAATGTCTTTCCTCATTAATCCAGATGTCATCTTTTGAACTGACACAGTCTTATTAAACTATTTTGAAAGCTGGTTTGCAAGTGCACACACACTTTCAGGCTGGCTCGTCCCGTCTCCATTGGGGCTCCCGACGGTCGTTTTTCTGTCGCATGAGGACCAGCCGCGTGTCCAACAAAGAGAAGGAGGAATTCCTTCCCGGAGTCAAGAAAAAAGGTAGTGCTTGTGTTACTATAGGCAACAGCCACTTCCCGCTGTCAGGTTTAAAATGAATCTAAGCGCCCATTCTGGTGTGTTAACGTGCACAATTCTATTTCAATCAATGTTCGTTATGTTAGGACAACGCATTCAAAATATCTGAGCTGCCAATGCGTCACAAAACAGCAAAAATGGTGACTGCTCATTTTCTAGCATTATACCTCAGTGTACTTCCGTTGGCATTGTGCGTTAGGATGTCACCGCGTCGCTGCAACATATATAGCTGTTTTTGTGTCTTGGATGGAGTGGGGAAGGATTCTAACTTTTATTAGGTTTTTGTTGTCTGTGTCCTTGCTTGGGAGATTCACCTCTCAATTTGTCCAGGTGACCATCATCATTGCTGGGAATTCAAACTCTTGCACTTGGGAGAAGCTGAGGTAACAGGAGGTGATAGACGTTTTCCAAATGGGACACCTGTTATATTTGTCTAGGAGGAATATGCCCTCTCTTTGGAAAGATTACCTGTTGTGTCTCTGGTACAAGAGGTGAAGGAAAATTGCCCCAAAGAGATGCATACAGCTAAGAAGTTCTTCCCTCACATTTGTGTATTTTGAGAAAAGGACCCCTTTAAATTGGTCTTCCTTCGGAGAAGGACCCCCTTACATTGGTGCTTATTGGGGGCATGTGTACACCCCTATCTGGTGCCTCTGCAGCTAAAGGGGGTAGCAATTGGGAAATGGTAAAAGTGCAGCTCAACTGTGGGATTTTACAACTGCTAAACCTCACATGTGAATGAACCTAAAGAGTGCTTGTTGGGAGAAGGTTCTCCCTACTTTGGTGCTAATTGCGAGGAGTGCCCCATTACATTGGTAGGTCTCACTTACATTGATGGTCAGTGATAAGAGTACCCCCCATTGCAATATGGAGTCAGAGGAAAGCCAGTCCCTTACATTGATGGAAAGAGAGAAGAACGCCACACATATGGACCATTAGAAAGGTCATTGGTATCCTTTTTTACTTCTCTTTAATTGGACATAGTGCCTGGCAAGGAAACTATGCAAGCTCTGTCAGGAGGTCATTCCACCTTTTGATCAGGGAATCCTAGAAATTTCTGGTGGATTCCTGGTTGAAAGGGGCTGCTTTATTAAATTATTGCCACTAAAACTAAATCATGTACCCTTCTTCTGATCTTATTGTTTACTTTGCAGAACACCGGCGGTACTGTACCATCCACTGCACGGGCTACCTCCGCAACTGCCTGTCCAGCGAGGTAGGCATGAAAGAAGACAGTGACTCCGAGAAAGAGTCCTACAATTTCAGCTGCCTCGTGGCCATTGGAAGGCTTCACCCGTACATCATACCGCAGAGCACTGCTGATATTAAAGTCAAGCCCCCCGAGTTTGTCACACGTTACACCATGGATGGTAAATTTGTTTATGTGGATCAACGGTAAGGACTGTCAATCAATCAGTCTCAATTTCTTTTCTTCCATGCATTGGGTTTTTGTTTTATGATTATAATAGTGTCCAACTGTTATTTTTTTTACTGGGTGTTATTTGTTGTTAAAGGATAAGTTCACCTTTACCAAAAAACTGCTTATGCAGATAAGGGGTGTGTGTAGATAAAAACAAACTTTGCAGCTTTGACTGAATTGAAAAATGCCATTGCTATAGGTGTAGGCAATTTACTTACCTCCTGATGCCTGTGTGGAATACTTCCAGAAGGTTGCTAAGTGAAGCCCAGTCATTACTGTTCACCTCCACCATCACAGGAGCAAGCTCTCAAACACTAAGCTCAGAGCTAATGCATCAGGGGAGAAAAAGTGCATGTGAGGGGGTTTGAATCAGAGAAGGAGCTCACTTCTGTGCTGGTGGAGGTAAGCATTAGGCCTCACTTAGCAACGTCCTGGGAGTATTCCAGGCAGGCTTCAGAAGGTAGGTAAATGGCCTACACCTATAGCAAAGGCATTATATAATTATAGTCAGAGCTGCACAGTTTGTCTTTAACTACAGACACCCCTTATCTGCCAACATATTTTTTTGTAAAGGTGAACTAAGCCTTTAATGACATTTGAATGAAGATGTATTTTATTTTAGAGTAGAACTCTATCCGAAAACGACTTCATTTTGGATGAAGTGGGAAAGGCTTAGAACCTCGGATTTTTGAAGCTGTCTGAGTCCACATTGAGGTGATTTCCCCTCACCTCCTGTCTGGAAACACATCCGGAAGTAAGGAAATACTCTTAGTTTGAACACAGATGGCAGCAAAAATTTGACAGAGACTCTCGTCTGGCTGGAACTCCACTATGATATGTCAGTATGTCTTGTGGTTGCAGCGGTGATGGATCAGGTTGAAATTCATGATGATTATTATTTCAGATACTTATATAGCGCTGTCAATTTACGCAGAGCTTTACATGTATATTGTACATTCACATCAGTCCCTAATCCTCAAGGGGCGTACAATCTAAGGTCCCTAACTCACATTCATACATACACATACTAGGGCCAATATAGACAGGAGCCAATTAACCTACCAGCAAGTCTTTGGAGTGTGGGAGGAAACCGGAGTACCCAGAGGAAACCCACACAGGCACAGGGAGAACATGCAAACTCCAGGCAGGTGATGCTGTGGTTGGGATTTGAACCAATGACCCTAGTACTGCCAGGCGGAAGTGCTAACCACTTAGCCACTGTGCTGCCTTGCTGGAGATCATTTACATTTAGTGCTCCTATGTTTTTGATCCCCTCACTTCCTGACCTGATTACCATTCAACAAAAAAAGAGAACATCTCCCCTTCTCTTATGTCTGCCACCCGATCAAATAGACAGAAAATTTTTGCCAAATCTAAAAAATTAAAAAAAAAATGGTTGGAGTTTGTTGTGTTCCATCCTTCCCTTCTAAGGAAGTTGTAGATATTTTACTACCTCTATTGAGTCAGATTTCTGAAACTTGTTTGGCTCTCAGTCCATTTTTTCTTTTATTGAGATTCTGCTGCTGCAAAAGGCAAACATGTGTTAGGGATTTACTAACTCCCTTAATGCCTAGCTATCCTTTACAAGGGATGTTGTTTGCATGGTTTGTAGTCACTTTACTCATCCACCTTGTTGTGTCTCTTTCAGAGCCACGGCTATTTTAGGGTATCTTCCTCAGGAGCTGTTGGGCACTTCCTGCTATGAGTACTTCCATCCAGATGACCACAGCCACCTAACGGAGCAGCACAAAAGTGGTAATGCCACCTGTTTCCCAGCACTGCCCCTGCTTGGTATTTAATAGCCAATTAACGCATTTGATTGCCCCAAACATCTGTGTTTCGCTTTCTGTGTATTTGGATTGCAAGTATAAGTCAAGAGAAGCCCTAGCTGAAAATACTCTAATTTCAGTTTTTGTCAGAACAAAAGAAATGGCTCAAAATGTTTAGGTGCCAACACTTAGGGGTATGTTCTGACTTTCCCCAATCATTCACTGAAAGATGAACCTTTCTTGCGCATAAGTAATATTTAACAAAAAACCCTTTGTGCGATCACTGATATAACATAAATAAAAAATATATGTTAAAAAAATCCCTATATGTATACTTATGCTTCTTGCACTGTTATGTCTTCTCATACGCCATCTATAACATACAGTGGGGATCGAAAGTTTGGGCACCCCAGCTAAACATTTGTATTAATGTGCATAAAGAAGCCAAGGAAAGATGGAAAAATCTCCAAAAGGCATCAAATTACAGATTAGACATTCTTATAATATGTCAACAAAAGTTAGATTTTATTTCCATCATTTACACTTTCAAAATAACAGAAAACAAAAAAATGGCGTCTGCAAAAGTTTGGGCACCCTGCAGAGTTAATATCTTGTACTGCCCTTTGGCAAGTATCACAGCTTGTAAACGCTTTTTGTAGCCAGCCAAGAGTCTTTCAATTCTTGTTTGAGGTATCTTTGCCCATTCTTCCTTACAAAAGTCTTCCAGTTCTTTGAGATTTCTGGGCTGTCTGTCACGCACTGCTCTTTTAAGGTCTATCCATAGATTTTCAATTATGTTGAGGTCAGGAGATTGTGAAGGCCATGGCAAAACCTTCAGTTTACGCCTCTTGATGTAATCCCCCGTGGATTTCGAGGTGTGTTTAGGATCATTATCCATTTGTAGAAGCCATCCTCTCTTTAACTTCAGCTTTTTCACAGATGGCATCAAGTTACCATCCAAAATTTGCTGAAATTTTATTGAATCCATTTTTCCTTCTACTCGTGAGATGTTCCCTGTGCCACTGGCTGCAACACAACCCCAAAGCATGATTGATCCAACCCCATGCTTAACAGTTGGACAGAGGTTCTTTTCATTAAATTCTGTTCCCCTTCTTCTCCAAACATACCTTTGCTCATTCCGGCCAAAAAGTTCAATTTTAACCTCATTGGTCCACAGAACTTGTTTCCAAAATGCATCAGGCTTGTCTATATGTTCATTTGCAAAGTTCAAACGATGATTTTTGTGGTGAGGACGTAGAAGAGGTTTTCTTCTGATGACTCTTCCATGAAGACCATATTTGTGCAAGTATCTCTTTATAGTGGAATAGTGTACCACAACTCCAGTGTCTGCCAGATCTTTCTGGAGGGATCGTGCAGTCAAACGTGGGCTTTGAATTGTTTTTCTCACAATCCTGCGAGCTGTTCTGTCTGATATTTTTCTTGGTCTTCCAGATCTTGCTTTAACTTCCACTGTTCCTGATGACTGCCATTTCTTAATTACATTCCGAACAGAGGATATTGACATCTGAAAACGCTTTGCTATCTTCTTATAACCTTCTCCAGCTTTGTGAGCGTCAGCTATTTTCAGTTTCAGTTTTCTAGACAACTGCTTAGAAGAAGCCATGGTGCTGATTGTTGGGGCAAGGTCAGATGAGTCTGGGCATTTAAAACCTTTGAGATTGACATCACCTGGTCTTCCCAGACAATGATTGAGAACAATCCATGGCACTGGCAGGTCTCAGCTTGGCAAAGGGGGCAGTGCATGCTATAAATTCTGCAGGGTGCCCAAACTTTTGAAGACGCCATTTTTTTGTTTTCTGTTATTTTGAAAGTGTAAATGATGGAAATAAAATCTAACTTTTGTTGACATATTATAAGAATGTCTAATCTGTAATTTGATGCCTTTTGGAGATTTTTCCATCTTTCCTTGGCTTCTTTATGCACATTAATACAAATTTTTAGCTGGGGTGCCCAAACTTTCGATCCCCACTGTATATATAATCCTAAAGTACATCACTTTGTGATGTGTATCATAAAAATGTGTGATGTATGTTATATCCCAAGAGCACAAACAAAATAAACAAAGGTAAAAAAAAAAAAACCTTACAAACACCAAGTATAAAAGAACTGGAGATTCTTTACTTTGCTCTTGACAAAAAAACTCTTCCTTGTTCGCATATGCTAATGTGACCGGTTCCCCTCTTACATGTTGCGTCAGTCATGTCACTTCCTCAAAGGAAGGACATCAGGACATGCATATGTGCTTTGTATCTGTGGTGCACCAGTGTTATACACAAACATTTGTGAGTGTATTTTCCAATATGAAAATAAAATGGGTATGTTTAACAGGAAAACATTGATTGTTTTAATTGGAGACAGGATTAAAAAATTATGGGAAACTAAGAGGAAGTGGAGGTGAGAGCATAGAGTGGAGGATCACAAGGGGAGTCAAAGATATGAAAATTTGAAGCGATTTCAGGAGCACAAAGCACAAATACTTGAGGACTTTGGTTTTTAATGGACTTTATCTGTGTTATCACATCATATCACAATATACATGTGATGGTAGTGGATATGCAAATTGTATGTTATGTAAAGAGTTTCCAGCACGCAGGTTAATTTTATACTTAATGGTGTTTAGAAGGTTATTTATGTTTTGTGTATATTTTCAGTTTGTGTGTTTGGGATATGAGGTAAATCACAATATATTTTGTGATACACATCACAGTGTACAAGCTGGTGCATGTATTTAAAATGACAGTGATTGACCAAGTGTATGATAAAAGAACCTGGAACACATGAGGCAAGTGCTGTGACTTAAATGTTGTTAACTGAGCTATCCTGCAAGGAGCATTGGAATGCATGCCCTTCAATGGTGAGTGCTTCTTTGGCACTGCTCCAAATACATTTATCCAAAAATGGGAGAAAACACTCTCTTACCTCTAACAAAGCTGAAGAAGCCTGTGGAGCAGAAGCCACCCTCGTCTGGAACCAAGAAAAGTTCCTTTTGTTCTTTTCAGAATAAAGTGGCGAACCAGAAAACTTAATTTCCTAAAAAGTCCTGGAGCCCCAGGCTCACCACAACATTCATCTTGCCGAATATTTGGATGAGAATTGAGGCATTTTCTTTTGTTTAACCCGCTGGTTGAATGAAAGAAATACATAATGTATAGGCTGCCTTAAAGTGTCGCTGAAGCTAGGGTTTGCTTTGTTTGTGTCTTATTTAAAGTCCATTTAAAATGACATGTTCATGTAAGGCTGTCCAAAGGCTGACAACGCTGCTGCGTGATTCATTTCAGAACAATATGTATTGTCACCCTGTTACAGGAAGTCGAAAAATAATAGATCTCCTAGCAGGATCCACTGGTAGAAAAGCTATGATAAAGGGGGGATGCAGAAAAACAGAACCTGCTGTGTTAATGCCACTGACGGACTGCATCATAAATGTCATGTTTGTTATTTTGCCCATAGTTCTTTAATTTTTTGGGCCCCTTGGCTACCTGCAAAAGTAAAATCACCCTATGAGTAAGATTATTGCATGCAACAATTAAACATTTTCTACAGCTAATGTCTATATCTCCTTCATACAGTTCTTCAGAGTAAAGAGAAAATTGTGACAAATCCGTACAAGTTCAGGGTGAAAGACGGGTCCTTCATTATCCTGAGGAGCCAGTGGTTCAGTTTCATTAATCCGTGGACCAAAGAGTTTGAATATATTGTATCGGTTAACACCGTGGTCTTGTAAGTCATGAGGCATTTCAGATAAATTGTGTCAGTTTTAAAGGGGACTGCTCATGTATATTAGAGCCTAGAAACGTGGCACTTGATGTTCCCACAGGTACTTTTTAATATTCCGTATGTCTGTTTTGTACTCCCTGGGTTGATTTTGTTCATTGGTCTTTTGTTCTAGCTCAGAGCTTTCCCAAGTTTCCTCCACGCCAACTGACAATCCTTTAGGGGTCCTTAGCTTTTGCAGGATTCTCATTGGATTCTAGCATGGCAAGGAACTGGCCCAGATCTGACTAAGAGCGAAAGGCAGAGCCTTCACTCAGTGTGTGCCTGGTAACAAGGGGATGAACAGGAAATGTATTACCACTCATGTTAATAGGAATTTGATCAATCTAACGCAGATTTGGACAAATAGTGGCCCCTTATGCTATATCTAGCTCTTTGGCTGCTCCAGTTGGACCCACAATACCTCCACTGTCAGCATGCCTCTCTGAGCCTGTCAGCTCCCTCACTGACCGGCTCAGAGAGGCATGCTGACCGATGTCCGTGTGGAGAGTTGCAAGAACTGGAAGAAGAGAGCCTGAGGTGCTGATTGGTACAGTGGGGTGGCTTGGTTTTGGTGGGAGAGCGCTGCCTAGGAAACAGCCTGATGCTCTCCTGCCACTGCTACCCGGCCAAGTTCTTCCCGTTAGCACCTGCATGTTGCAAATCCCAGGAGCAGTGCACCTTTCCTTCACTCCAGGTCAGGATCTTCAGAAATCCCTCTGAAGTACCAATCTCAGGCTCTCTCCTTCCTGTTCTTGCAGCTGTGCCAGTTATCTCTCTGAGCCTGTCAGTCCCACATCAGCACTCAGAATTACAGATTAATTCATTAACCACCCTTCTTGCCAGCTCCGGCACTGCTTTTACCAGCCTGCCCTTCACCAACATTGTGGCCAGCAGATTTCTTCACTAGTGCTTCGTGAGTGTGCACACTATTTCATGAGCACTAGTACCTATTATTCCTTGCACCAGGGCTTTGTTTTCTATATGATTACATACTTTATGGACCTTCTCAGTCCAGTGTTGTTCTCCAAAGTCTGCTTTCACACATATGCATTTTTGCCATGTTTCCGGTGCATTGTCAGGGTTCCTATTACCCAGCATTCACCTGTGAACCTTGAACACATGACTCAAAAAAACGCACCAAAAAGCAACACAGGTACATTTTTGATGCATTTTAGACGCATTCTCTGTTCATTCCAGTGGGGACCTTGCATTTTTGGTGTGGCACTAAAAATGCAGCAGGATTGTGCTTTTGCTGCTGTTTTAGCTCAGTAAAAATGCAGCAAAACTCATCAATGTGAAATCAGCCTAAGCCTGCTGGTTTAATCAATATATTTTTTACTTTCTTCTAGGCTTTAGCTAACTCCTCCACAACAGTCCCAGTTTCTCATGTGGCCCCGTGGGAATATGAATTGCCCACCCCTGATGTATCAACTTTTAGGTAGCTTTAGCTAGAGGAGCGGTAGAAACTCCATTAACATGCAGAGTGCAGCTTGGCCCCTCAACCCGTTCTCTCCACACTGGCTGTGATTGACAGCAGCAGGAGCCAATAACTCCTGCTGCAGTAGAATGTCTTTTTGCCTTAACACATGTAAAGTATTAGGGTAAAAAAAAAAAACCTTCTTCCTTTAGAACCACTTTAATTATACAGTACAGACACAAGGATATTCATAGACCCTGGTGGCAGCCTATAACCCAGGGTCTATGAATATGCGGTCTGTGTACTGTTCTTCAAGATACAGAATTTGCAGGCAAGTCAAAATTAATTTTTTATGCCATATATGTATTCATGAAACATAAATGCATTTGAGATATTAATACATATTGGTTTTTCTTATTTGAACCACTGACATGTTTATGAGCTCATTTGTTACCCTTCTGCAGAGGCCAAGGGTCATCTCTAGAGTCTGTCTCTCTCCCCGGGAGCTCGCACTCTTCAGAAGGTGAGACAATATATCTATCATTTGTTTTATTTTTTTTTTTGCTGTATTTTTTTTTTTTTTTTTCATGTGAATCTTTGCCTGGATTATGTACGTATTCTAAATAAGCATTAACAACACTCCCAATCCCCAATATGTATAGTCATTGTGGTGAAATGTATCCCCAATTTTCACAACAAAGGCAATGAAATCACAAATTCTCTCCCCTTATTCTCTGTGGCAGTAGCCTGCCAGACCTTTAATGTAAACCCATTTTTTTTTTTTGTAAACAAGAAATGTATTCAAGTTTTCCATACTTCTTTTTTTGATGAGTAATGAGAGAACAACAAATTCAAAGTGAAACAAAACTTAGGTCAAATCATAGTGGCTTCAGTAAGTACATGAAAGAGTTAATAAGAGGCCTATGATGTACAGTTAAAGATGTTGCTTGAAGACATGTGACATAACAGCAATGAACTGCTTTGCAGAGGGCAGAGCTATGATATGAGGCAATACCGTTGTGAATACATACATTAAAAGATTGTATTTGTAAATATTGACTAACCGAGATTCATCTTTTTTTTAATTTAACCAATAGTGGTTAGCAGAGATTAAGAACAGGGTGATGTTAGGGGGTGTCAGTTATCTACCTGCCCTGGACCCCTTAATCTTCAAAGAATCTGTTCATAACTAAGGCAGGCAGTGTAGGGGAAGGGTCATTAGGCCACCCACACTAAAATTTCTGGGAGCAACTTTTGCAGGTGTAAGTTAAATTTCCTAGTGCATCTACATTTTTTTTAAACCAATTGTAACCGACTTTAGTGTGTATGTTGTGATCTTTGAGAATGAATTAACTCCACAGCACCTGCAGCTACAGAGGTCAGTGAGGCCTTGTTTTAAAGTTTAGCTCTCTTAGACCTCATTCACATGGCCATACTTAAGCATACTCCGTGTGAGGGCTGAATTTTTCCTGCATGGGATGCACAGGTGTTCTGTGCACCCGCATTCAGGAAGTCCCATTCATGTCAACTGGGACACAGCCCCTGCTCCCAATTTGTGTGGATCCCCAAATGCAGACAGTGCAAGATCAGGGGCATGCAGTTGCACCCACATGGATGTCAAATGGGGAGCAGTGGCTTTCTCCCAATCAACATGCATGGGACTGCTTGCGTGCAGATGTAAAGCCCTCATACTGGTATACGCTTACGTTTGTCCGAGTGAACACGGCCTTACAGCTTATTAAGCACTAAACTCCTTAATGTCCATAATCTGGGCACAGGTGCACTTTGAAGTTACATTTGTAATTGATATGTTTTGTGATAGATACTTCCAAGCGTCCTTACCGCAACTTACCTGGGATGTCCAGCGGGACAGTGCTTGGTGCTGCAAACATTGGAAAAGAGATTGCAAAACAGATATTAGAACTGCAGAGGTAAAACTTCCATTTGATTCCTGTTACATTCTTGGATCTACTTTGCTAACACTTTGTGTATGTTTACTCTAAACATTGTGGGGGTTTTGTCCTGTGTTTTATTATTTTAGTCATTTATTCAACCTTTTTAGTGATTTATTTATAGTCATAATGTGCACAAGTGCCTTACTGCATTGTCACAACAACTAAAACCCTGGCTTAACCCTTTCCGATTGTATTCAAAACAAAAAAAATAAAAAATTGGCTGTAGCTCCACTTTAAAGCCAAAGTTTAATCTGCTTATATTTGCCTTCTGTGGTTCCTCCTTTACCACCTCATCAATATACTAATGACATTTTTAAATAAAACCTTTCTGTTTTCATTACATGCCTTATTTTAGTGATGTCATCACTGGGTCTCTGTGCTTCTCTATGCAATGCCTGCAGATCTTGGTGGGCGTGGCCAGAAGGGAACTGTATACGAATTTATGAAAACACTCTAGCACACTGCCTCAGTACTCCTCTTAACTCCTTCATGACTGAAGGTAAAACTAACATTAACGCCCAGACCCAATTTAGCAACTTTGACACATGTTAATAAAACTATACATATGATCGCAACTTTCATTTGGTGGTAATATCTCTTGATTTTATTTTTTATCAAGGGGCAACTGCCCTATAACTTATCACGAAAGAACAACTCAAAAATGAATTCTCCTGCTTGCACTGATCCACATACATGTATATTTGTTTGTTGTTGTACCCGTAGTAGGATCCCGGAAACAGTAGTGCACATTTTGCTTTTTTTATCCCACCTAAAGCCTACTGACACTCATACTAAAAAATATATTTTTTTAATCCTACCTAAAATATACTGAACCTGACCTTGACCTTTTGGCCCTTACCAGACCCAGGGCTGTCGGTGAAACCTGGTCTCTGTACCGCGTGCTCTCGACAAGAACACATATATGTGGCACCCAGGTTTAAAGCCCACCTCCTGGATTCGGCATATATGGGTTACCGTGTCATGAACGGGTTAAGCCCTGATGGAAGTGGTGGGTTGTCTCTTGGGAGGAGTTATGCAAATAAGTGCCTTGATGGGTGAATGTCAATCTGGAGGAATGGGCTTTCCTAGGTAGGCTGTATTTTCATGTAGACTACCCTAGGTATTGCCCACATGTGATGCTGAGCTTCTATGACTGAAAGAACTTAAATGCAATGAATGAAAGGAGCGGGTCAGGGGCAGTCAGGCTTGAGAAGGGGGGGGGGGGGGAAGGCTTGATTATGTTGAACAAATGAAAAATACAGTGATAACCACAATAACCAAAGTATAAATCCTTTCTGATTTACAGGTTGCACTCTCCACCGTTTAATGGAGATATAAGTCCTAGCATCCTTTTAAAGAAATCCCCCCTTGGCCTTGGCACCCCATCCGGGGAGGTAAGTTCAGCATGCTGTGGCTCAGCAATGTCTTGGTGAAATCATCATGCGTTGTCCTTTGCCTTGACAATAGTTTTAGTTTTACTGAAGAAGCAAAGACTGTTTGCTTAAAGCTGACTTCACAGCTCAAAAGCTTCACACTCTTTGTATTCCTCAGTAGCCACAAATTATACACCACTTTGTATACAAACACCGCTCCAAAACCAGATATTGCCTTGTAAAGTAGCAGTGACATCATCAGTGTGCTGTACATAGCCTATGTAGAGAGCAGAGCTGTGGGAGGGACTCAGCAGGCCCCACCCACTACAGGTTGCCTTCAGAAAACTATAGGAGGAGACAAGAACAGCCACCCTGCACAAGTAGAGAGAGCAGCAGTGACAGGTCTTTATTACAGGAAGTTCCTACACAGAGGAAACGTTTCACACAAGATTAGTGCGCAGCTCTGGAAGAAATACACAAAGCACACCAAGATTCAAGTAAGAATACATGTCTCTTGTATTCGACAATATGTGCTTATCCTGGATTTCAGCTTTTAAGTTTATAGCTCTTTTTTTTTTTTTTGGATAAAGCAGTGGCTGGTTAGGGGTTGGAATCCCTGTCAGTTTTTTTTTTTTTCATTCATTCCTTCTTTAATTAATTCAGTTTTATGTTTACCACCAATATAAGGCTTTGCTCAGACTTGAGGTTGGGGATTGCGATTGGCGGCAAAATGGGGTTAAAACAGGCAGTGAGTAGGTGTCACATCACTTCCTCACTGCCTGTCAGTAGCCCCTGAAGCACGATCCGAATGTGGATTGGGCTTCAGAAGAAAGAGAGATTTAAACACATGCCTTAATCTACCCTTATACATGCAGAGTTCACATGCACCAAATTTACTAAAACTGGAACATGTAAAATCTGGTGCAGCTCTGCATAGAAACCAATCCGCTTCCAGGTTTTATTGTCAAAGGTTAATTGCACAAGCTGAAGTTAGAAGCTGATTGGCTACCATGCACAGCTGCACCAAATTCTGAGTGCACCAGTTTTACTAAATCTCCCCCAATGTGAAATAAAAAAACAAAAGTGACCATGATGGATTCAAGCATGAACACTAGTCATTTACAATAAAAATGGGACTCAGCGAGCGCTTAATAATAAAAGCAGCTAGTACACTAAAAAGGAAACCATGAACCTTCTAAATGACAAATAGATATAAATATGTGCAGCGCTAAAATGGATATGCATAAAATGAATTAAAATACCAAGGATGTATAAAGTGCTAAATATCTGAATAACAGTGCTGGTGATATAGAATAAATATATTGAAGTGCTAAAAGATGCCCAAATAAAGTGCTATTCAACCTAAAACATATGATGTTCTAATGGATGATAAATAAATAATCATGAGCGTCCAAACAAAAGTAGTAAGGATAAATGACAGTTCCAATAAATATCAGTAATCCAGATAAGTGAATCTTGTTATCCCAGTAGTAAACAGATATTCCGGTGACGTGCGGGGTACAGTAAAAATGCACACTCACCAGATACGCATTTTAAGTGCGCAGTATGTAATTATGTAGTAAACAGCCAGAGGTCCCCTCTACGGTAGGATGGAATAACAGCCTGGGATGGAAAACCCTCCTCTATAGCTAGCCAGAGTTCCCCTTTATGGTAAGCTGCAATATGGCCTGATGTGGATCTAATGTGGGTTCCCGAGGGGTTAACTGCTCGGTGCAGAGCAAAAAAGGATGGTGCCCATAGTGTAGTAATTAGGTGATAAATAAAGGGTTTTATTAAGCAAAGATTAAAATCCAGAAGACATCCTTGTGATTAGGAATGACATTCAGCTTAAAAGCTGCCTAATACACTGCACCTGCATCCACTTCCATAGGCTATTTGCACACAGTAGGGGGTGGATGCCAAACAAACACCTCATGCCTGAAATATGGGTAACAGCACCTGCCTGGATAGGGAATAAGACAGTTGTTCTAGTAACAAGTGTTCTCATTGTAAGATTTCCTCTTGATTCTTGTTGGGGCGACAACTGTGAAATTTTGGATTTGCTGTCACTTTCTGTCTCGGTTACACTGCAGCTGAGGTCACATACATTTACACTCTACAGCCGTAGAAACAAAAGGATTAATGCTTGTCTGTTTTAAATGTGAGTGTTATAAATGTAATCGTTTGTGATCGTTTTTAGTAAGAAGTGTTTGCTTCATGTTTTTTGTTCAGAAAGACGATTTGGTACGACTGTCCCCTTCAGAAATTGAGAAACTAGACGCGTCTTCTCAAAATGACACCTTGCCTTCGTTCCCTATTCCAGACCACCTCATGAGTAAGATTCTTTTGGTGCATTATAAAGCTGAAGTTTAAACATGTGATATTTTGTTTTCCTGTACCTGATTTTTTCCTGCTGCAGTGAAGGGGAAAAAAGCTAGGTCACCTCCCCGCCCCCAGCCTGTGATTGGGCAGTGAAGAAGCAGTTCACTACATTTTTTACACTGCTCTCTCCTCCTGTCATCTTATTCCTTGTCAACATGTGTTTGTAGAAGAGTCTGGTTGGCTTGTAGCACTATTGCTCCCTTCCCTGTGAGCTCTGCTGTAGAAAGGATCACAAGAGGCTAATTCCTATTCAGTTTGAATATTTAGCCTAGAAAGACTGCAAGAAAGACTGATAAAAACACCATTTCATCCATCAATAAAAAAATGTTTAAAGCTGAACTCCAAGGGTTAAAGTGGTTCTCAAGCCTGAAGGTCTTTTACTTCAGGGCTTAAAATTTCAAGTCTAGACCTACTAGCCAGGCAAAAACCTTACTCTCCACCAGTTTCCCCACCAAACCTTGCCCAGGTCTTCCTCCAACCCCACCCCAGGCCCGTCCCCCAACCCGCCCCCAGCCCTGCCTCAAACCACGCCCCCTTAAAGCTTATGAAATTACATTTTTCTTTAGAATAAGGAGTCCAAAATATATAAAAAACTGCAATTATAACATAGCTTTATTATGTCAATTTAAACATAACAGCAATAGCTTAATAGCAATAGGGTGCAATCAAAACATCAAGTTTTACAGCTTTAAACCTGTAGTAAACATTTTGTAGTTTATTTTTTATCTCCTGCATCTATTAAAAGAGACTTTAGTTTACAGAAGTATAGCTTAAGAAAAAGTGCTTATTTTGATGCCAAAAAACATGGAATAATAGTTACTGTAAACATGTTGTATTTTTTATCCAGCAGAAACCTTAGAGAAGTGTTGCATTAAGAAAAAACAAAAAAAAAGTGCCTCTTTTGATGGCCAAAAACATTGCATAAAATAAATAACAATAGTAAACATTTTGTATTTTTTATCTCCAGCATCTTATTAAAAGAGAGCTTAGAGAAGTAGTGCATTAAGAAAAAAAAGTGCTTATTTAGATGCCAAAAAACATGGCGTAACAATAGTAAACATTTTACCAAAGATGTGCTATTATAGCAGCCATAGTTTGTGTTGTACAGCAGGACCAAGACTTGTGTAATACCCTTTTTCTAATGCAAAATACCAGTTCAATGGCTGTGTGTGGATTGCAGTCTATTCCATGAAGAAAAAAAACATCAAAAAATTATTTTTTGGATGCCAAAAAGCAGTAGGAAGCCAGTTTCACATCAAGATTTGCTATGGTTTTTGTTGTACAGCAGGACCAAGCCTTGTGTAACGTCACCTTACTGATGAAAAATACCACTTATAAGTGGCAGTGTTTGGATTGTAATCTTTTAGTGGTGGTCCATTAACGGCAATCATCAAAAGATCGTCCAAAGTCTCCAGTGTCAGTGATGAACGATAGACTGTCTTTATTCTGTTTTGGTAGCTAAAGCCACGTTCACATGAGGCGATTGTTGGGGGAAGTACAGCACAGAAATTGACCAGAGGGAGTATGGTGCTGAATCTTTCTTTCTGCTGATTCAATCTTTTCAGAGTTTCATTAAAAGAGAGTCCATTTTGAATGAAGAGTTTTAGGTCAGCCCACGCTGCTTCTAACAGGTCAATTTTGTCTTCAAACTGATTATCAAAAACATGTTTTGCAATTATGTGCTACTCGGTCAATCCAAAGTTGAGGATGTGTGCTTTGCCTGGCTATATTGTACAATATCTGAGGAGACTGAGGAAAGCCTCAAAATTAAATATCTTTCTGCTTTGGCCAATACAGATTGGCGTACAGACTGAAATTCTCTGTCACCAGCTTGAAGGTTGGTCAGCTGCAGCCCATGCAGTTTTCCACCTTCTGTAAACTTACTAAGAAATTCAAGTTCGTTTTTTCCTTTCCCATCAGAAAGATCCTGAAGAGTTTTAACTGCATGTTCTAGTTTGTTTTTTTACCTGACAGATCAGAAGTTCCTTGTTCTGAAGACCCTCTGACAAAGGTTTCAGCTTGCTATAAAAATCGAATAGGAAATGCAAACGTTTCACAAACTTCAGCTGTTTCAGGTCTTTCAGGATGCCTTTAACTTTAGCAGATTCAGATGATCCCTCAGTTGATATCTGCTCAAAGTGGCTCACTACTGTCTTCCAATTTTGATGAAAAGCATGCAAGACCTCAACTTTGCTGCATAACCAGCATAACCACTGTGTGTACATCTTTAATTTTCAAGATTTCATCACTTAAAGTGTTTGCAAGATCTGCATAAGGCATTTTGCTGAGCAATGATATTTGAAAACACGCCGCACCACCTCATCGAAATGTTTGTAGGTATGGCATTTCCTTGCAAACATTCAAGATTGCAAGCGATGAGCCACACAATGTATGCTGATCATCTGTGGGCAGACTTCTTTCATCTGGACTGCTAAACCTGACTTGTGGCCAAGCATGCTTGTAGCTCCATCCGTTCCAAAGCCTGCAACTCATTAAGATGCAAATTTATCCAAAAAGGTAGTCAATCCTTTGAAATAACCTTCGGCTGTAGCATTTTCTAGTGCAAATGTACCCAAAAAAATCTTCTTTGACGTCTCCTTCTAAAACATAACGGACATAAATGTTTGCATGTTCAGTGTAGGTTCGATCTGTTGATCCGTCAATCATGATGCCAACAAAAGGTGACTTTTTAATGTTTGCCACAAGACTTTCTCTGATTATTCTTGCAATGAAGTGAATTAATTGTTTGCATTGAACATTACTTCCATATTTCTGCAGAATTGGCACATCTAGTTTGGCACTCAGTGTTACTAAAAAATTGTGTGAGAACCACAATCGGGTTCAGGGTAGGATTTCTGCTGCTGTTCCTAATTTTTTGAGAAATGAATTGCACGTGCAGGCCGGAAAATGATCACACTGACAACTGTGCAGTATAACCACAACCTCATCTCTGTTTATTGCAGGGCGGTGCTTAACCTTTTATACATAGAAAACAATAGAGTATACGTCATTATTATGTAAATATGATCATAGTCTAAAAAGCACATTTTGGTTGGCTGAAATTTAGAAAGAAGGAAAAAACTTGAAACTTGTCGCCGTTATCTCTTCACTCCCTCACATATTCAAGGCCGTAACTGCAAAATCCTCACAGCGCAATGGGAGGGGTTGAGAACATCGCTGAACAAACAAGTTAAGGAGGACTGCAAAGCCCAGCAGACAAAATATATATGCACAACACATATATTTAGAAATATAAAAAAGTAAAGTAAATATGTATAAAATATATATATATATATATATTTAGGAGGAAACCGAATAGGAATTTTACCAAATCCATCACAGTCCCCCCTTAAAATGACTATTTTACTCTGTCCCTATAAAGCCTAGCTCATCTGTCCTTATGTACCTTGGAACTCTTTTATGCTGTACGTTATACAGGTGGTGACTATTTCATCACCTCCCTTGCCACAGACTTTGTACAGGAAGTCAGATGCTATCCCTACAAAATAGTGAAATTGCTGTTGACGGGGAGGGGACTGTAGAGGGGTGAAGGGTTTATGCTCTTCCATCGTAAGGGGGTCCTCCTCTTCTTGATGGAGAAATGTAGGTGTGTTGTTGTCTACAGCCTTGCTTATTAACTTTTTTACAAATGGTAGAATACAGCATACAATCAGGGCTAAAAGAACTAGAATTATTAATACTGTTACACCTATTTGGGCGAGCACTTTTTGTCACCCACTCATCCAGCTAAATTATTGATCCCGCGGATCTGTGATACCTGAGTTCTTCTTCAGCTCCACTGACAGATCTTCTAATTTCTTTATGGCCAGAGTAACCTTACCATTTGGGCCGGTATTGTCAGGAATGTAGGTGCAACAGGTTCCTGTTCTTGTTATCATTTTACAGACACCTCCTTTCTCAGCTAACACCATGTCTAAGGCCACCCGGTTCTGGAATGCCATATAGGAGGTGGGGGCTAATTGGTCAGCAATTCCCTGGAGGGCATCCCTGGTGTAATTCACAAACCTCTGTTGGTTATAGTATATGTAGTTAATCCAATTCACATTCTTGTTAACAGTTATTATGGGGATTAAAGACTCAAAACCAGCTTTTACCTGGTCCCTGGCTTTGAATTCATCAGGAACCCCCCTTGGGACCCCTATGGCATCTATGTACACATGAGGGTCAAAACTTCCGGAGGGAGCTGTCCACTTCCTCTTGCGACTTGATGCTGAGCCAGTGTGTGTGTGTCAGAAATATCTTAGACCACATGCACTGCCATCTCGGGCCTGGGCACGGCTTACATCACAGTAATCAAATAAGAAGGTAGCCACATGTGTGTTGGATGAATTGTACCAAAATATAGTGGTGTCACCTATTTCGGTGATAGCCACTTGTTGAGCCTCTGTCAGACTCATTAGAAAAAGGATATACAACATAGTTGTCATTGTGTAGATGACTCCTTTTCCTCAGGGGTTGGGACTTTCTTGCAGTGGAAGGCGTGTATCCAAGTGTTCTTCCCGGCCACCTTGACAGAAGTGGCTGTGGTCAGCAGAACTTGGAATGAACCATCATATCTTGGCTCAAAAAATATTTCCTCACAAATTTCTTTACTAATACCCAATCTCCGGGTAATAGGCTGTGAGTTCCCGAGTCTGTCTCTGGATCTGGAATGGAGGAAAACACTCGAGAATGGATATTGGTTAATTCTCTAGACAGATGTGTGCCATAGCTAGTTAATACATCAGATTGTAACTGCAACTGTTGTGGGAAGTAACAGCCAAGTCTGGGGGCTGAACCAAACAAAATTTCATAAGGGGACAGGTCATGTTTTCCCCGGGGGGGGTGTCTGACACTGAACAGGGCAATGGGCAAACTGTCTGGCCAACTCATGTTAGTCTCTTGGGCCATCTTTAGCATCCTGTTTTTTAAAGTCCCATTCATCCTTTCTACTTTCCCACTGCTTTGAGGGTGGTATGGGGTGTGTAGGGCCAACTGAACCCCCAATGCTGTCCAAATCTCTTTTGTAAGGGTTGCTGTAAAGGCTGGACCCTGATCACTCTCTGTCATATCTGGGACCCCAAATCTACAGACTACCTCACTCAGTAGTTTCTTAGCCGTGGTCTTGGCTGTCATGTTTGTAACAGCATAGGCTTCTGGCCAACCAGAGAACATGTCTACCACCACTAGGGCATATTCGTATCGGCCACTTTTTGGCATCTGTATATGATTAATCTGTACCCTCTGGAATGGATAGAGGGGTTTTGCCAGATATTTCTGCGGTGTCTTTTCTGTCCTCCCCGGGTTGCATTTTGCACATACTACACACGAGGCGCAGTCATTTCTGGTTAAGGTGGTTATCCCTGGAGCCCAGTAATACTTGCTGATCAGTGAGTTCATTAAGTTAAGAGATGTGCATGTCCATGCGCTCCTTTCATCGAATACAACTCTCCATCGTAGTCTGCTCCTTTATCGATCCATTCCAACCTTTCTTCTGTGTAAGCAGCCATTTACATAGAGACTAGATATTGCTTGTCGGATGGCACATCCACCGCCAAAGGCATCTGTGCTGAGGTCTCACTACCCCCTTCAGCCACCTCAGCCACTTTTTGTTGGTTTTTTGCTGATTCTTTGGCAGCTATATCTGCCAAATGGTTCCCTCTGGCCTTTTGAGAATTCAGAGATTGCCATATGCTTTAACCTTCAAAACAGCCACTTGGTCAGGCAGGAGCAGTGCATCCATTAAGTCCTTGATGGCTGGGCCGTGTTTCTCCGGTGTTCCAGCCGCTGTCAGAAACCCTCTGGCTTTCCAGATGATACCGAAGTCATGAGCTACTCCAAAGGCGTACCTTGAGTCTGTGTAAATGTTGGCTCTTTTACCTTTTGCTTTACACGCTGTAGTGAGGGCTTGAAGCTCTGCTTCCTGGGCAGATACAGTTGGTGGTAATGCTCCTGCTTGTAGAATTTCAAATTCAGAGGTCACAGAATAACCTGCGTGGTACTTTCCTCCTTCATCTGCAAATCTGGAGCCATCCACAAAAAGTGTGTAATCAGGGTTTTCCAGAGGAATTTCACTCACTGTAGGGAGATGTGTGGTTTCCATGCACATCATCATTTCAAGACAGTCATGTGGAGTAGTGCAGGGGTCTCCTTCTTCACCTTCTCCTTTTTCTCCCCCCTTGAAAAATGGCAGAAGGGTGGCCGGGTTGAGGGTGAGACACCTTTGGGGGGTCACATTGTCAGGAATGAGAAGGGAGATTTGCAACCGTAGATGTCTGGCCATAGACAGGTGTCGGGGTTGTACCTGATTCAGGATGGCAGCAATGTCATGCGGTGCCAGAAGAAGCAGGGGGTGTGCTAAAACGAGGTCTAAAGTTTTGTCCAACAGTGCTTGAGCAGCAAAGACAGTTCTTAGACATAAAGGACCAGCCCTAGCTACAGGGTCCAAGTGGCAAGAATAGTACCCAATGGGTCTGGTCTGTCCTCCATGTACTTGAGTCGGGATTCTCGTGGCGTGGCCTTGCTTTTCTGACACAAACAGTTTGAAGGGTTTCTCATAATCTGGAAGGTCCAAGGCAGGAGCGATGGATATTGCTTGCTTCAGCAGAATAAAGTTGTCCAGGGCCTCACTTGACAAGGTAAATGCCACAGACTTGAGAGCATTATAGAGTGGTTGCATGCGGACCGATGCATCAGGGATCCATGCCCTGCAGTAGGATATGAGGCCAAGAAAGGCATGCAGTTGTTTAGCTGCTTTTGGTTGGGGAATGTCCTGGATTGCAGCTACACGGTCCGGTGTAATATGTCTTGTGCCCTTGGAAATACAGTGGCCCAAAAAGGTGTCTTTCTTGCAACACCATTGTAGTTTGTCTGTAGAAGCCTTACAGCCTTGTTTGGCCAAGTACCAGAGCAGCTTTTTAGATGCTTCTGCTGCTAAGGGCAGGGTGTCGGCACACAGCTAAAGGTCATCGACGTATTAGAGCAGGGTCACAGTAGGATTCTCTGCCTGCCACGTGCTTAAGATCCCTGCTGTTGCCTGAGCAAATTGACTGGGTGAATTTTGGGCTCCTTGTGGCACAATTGTCCAGATGTACTACCGGTCCTCATGGGTGAAGGCGAAAAAATACTGGCTATCTTGAGCAAGGGTCACACTGAAGAAGGCATTGGCCAGGTCCACCACTATGAAATACTCAGCCTCTGGAGGTACACCTGATAATAAGGTATGTGGATTTGGCACAACTGGAGTATCCAACACCGTGACTTTGTTAACTGCTCGCAGATCCTGCACCATTCTGTACCTGTCTGGTTCCCCCTTCGGTGTTTTTCTTCTTAACAGGAAATAAGGGTGTGTTACACGGTGGGGTGCAGGGGACCAAGGCTCCGTTCTGGACTAGAGCAACTACATGTTTTGATATAGCTGCTGACTGCGCCAGTTTAAGTGGGTATTGAGGCTTTCGGGGCAATGATGCGCCCTCTTTGAGCTTGACTGAAACTGGTGGCACTTTCAAGTGACTAATGTCTTCGGGTCCTGTAGACCATTAGCATGTAGGGATTCTATCAAGTACTCCCTGTGGTATTGCACCTGGGGTTATTGCTTCATGTAATATTTACAAATATAAAAAAAGTATAAAAGTAAATATGTATAAAATATATATTCAGGAGGAAACCGAATAGGCATTTTACCAAATCCATCACATTACTAAAATCAGGGAAATCTTGAAATGGCTTTTCACATTTAGCTACGTAATAAGCAATGTTAAACGTGTGTGTCATGTGCTGAAACATTGCTGCGTCCATTTTTCTGATACACATAGCTAAAGGTCTTTCTTCAGGGTTGTCTCTTGCCTTTGCCCTATCAATATTCTCTCTGTGTTTTATTACATTTGTCATGCCATACAAAAGTTTCCCTTTTTAAATGGAGCTTTTACGCCATTTGCCCATGTTTCATCTGAAATTTGGGGGAACTGACTGAAAACTTTACATATAACTATCATTTTCCTTGGAGTAAGCAAGCTATGAAAACTGATCCAGCCAATGTGCACTAAAACAGCGTTTTTTCACGGCCTTTCCAGCATCACCATCATTTGTCTTTTTAGTTATTACGGCAGTGGAAGTTTGTGGTAAACCACAACTAACAACTGAATTAGCTATTGATTCATTTTCTTTTTCTATAGGGTTGACTGGGACTCCACAATAGTAGGATGATCTTTTTCTTAAAAAAAAAAAATCTTAATTTACTCTGTTTCATGTTGCAGTGTAAACAAGGAGACAAAAAAAAAAAAAAGGAAAAGCTCACAGGCATGAGATATGGGTTAAATACTGGAAATTTGGACCACTTTTTTGTATTACGCCTGGTCTGCCACAGATGACCCAGGCTGAGGATGATCCTCCATGACATGTGATCATGCTAGTTGCACTGTCAAGGCTGGTCTTGGCTGCCTATTGGTCTTTCTGCTGGCTGAGCCTATTAAACGCTGGTCTGCGGCTGGCCTGATTGGTGGCTGGCCTGATTGGTGGCTGGCCTGATTGGTGGCTGGCCTGATTGGTGGCTGGCCTGATTGATGGCTGTCTGATTGATGGCCTGATTAAAGGCTGGTCTGCTGGCTGGTCTGATTGATGGCCTGCTTAAAAGGCTGGTCTTCTTGAAGGCAGATTAACAGCAGGTCATCTGAGTGGCAGTTCAGATTAACGGCAGTTCAGATTAAAGGCAGTTCACATTAACGACAGTTGAGATGAAAGGTAATTCAGATTAAACACAGTTCAGTTTAACGGCAGCTCAATGGCAGTTCAGCTCAACGGCAGTTCAGATTAAAGTTAGTTCAGATTAAAGCCTAGCCTGATTGAAGGCTGGTTTGCTTGAAGGCTCCTCTGGTGGCTCAGTGTGTCTGCTGGCTGGGCTGCCTTTAAGGAGGTTGTCTCTGCAGGGCAGAGCATGGATGCTTGCTTGGTGGGTCTGTCCACGCATTACAATCGTGAGGGACCAATGGCGATTGGAGGGAGGGCACTGATAATTTTCACCACTACCATATGAGGAAGTGTTCTTTTTTACTTTTTTTGGCAATAAGTAGTTAGTACTTCTTCAGCACATGGGTTCCTATGCATAGTCCGCTACCAATTTTATTGAAAATATATTTTTTTATTTTAAATAAATTTGTAGCGGATTGTGTATAGGTGTGCTGTGCTTTGCTTTTATGGTTTTTTTTCTTTTTTGCTTTTTGAAATATTTAGACCCCAGAGAGCAGCACTAAAATGGCGTTGTTTTTTTTTTTTTTTTTTTAACGTTGTTGGTGTTTTTTTTTTTTTTTTTTTACTCTTTTTGAAATCATTTTGCCCCCAGAGTGCAGCACAAAAAATGTAATTTACCTTAAGCTGGCGGGTGTAGGGATGTGCACCGTTGGCGGGTCTCTCCTTCACGTGTCCACCACGAACTCAGCAGAGGGGGAGGAGTCAGTAGTGCCAGTAGGGGACCGCAGAAGAGTAGGATCGGGTCTGCTTCATGGAAAAACATTGTACAGAGCAGGTAAGTATATTTTTTTTTGTTTAGCTAGTGAAAAATGATCCATCTACAGCCAGCCTTAGGGCAATTCTGTTACCATCGCCACTTCACCAGCAACAGCATTCTTGAAATTTTAACTTCCACTATTACTAATGGAAGTCATAATGGAGCAGTGAGTCCTGAATTGTCAAAAGTTTTGAAGTCACTGACAGTGAATAGGATAATGCCAGTTGAATTTTACAGATTTCTGGGGACAGTTGGTGCAGGAAAAAAAAGTAAAAGGTAATATTTGATTGATTTACCTAACTACTGTATATTAAAGAGATAAAGTGTATATTCATTCTTTCTTCTTGTCATTCACTTTGTTTAACTCTCTGGCTTCTCAGGTGACGGTTCCACTTTTGACTTCGAGAACGACGAAACCGCCATGGCCGCCCTCATGAACTTTTTCGAGGCAGATGGCGGCCTTGGCGACAACGGAGACCTGAACAATACACACTGGACCGCCTTTTAAACGCACAACTAAAACGTACTGTAATCTACTGGGGTTTTGACACAGTTGTCATTATTTTTGTATTTTATATGTTACAGAAAAAAACCCCACAGAGCAATTTCTAAGGGATTCCTCTAACCACAGGAAGCAAACACGCAGGAAGACATTTTGGGGGATAGATTGCGCTATATGATACTGAAATATTTTCATACTTGTTATTAAACTATTCTTTCCTTATAAAATTGCACTGCCCAGCAGTATGTACTTTTTATTTTGCGTTAGGGGACAATCAAAGGATTGTTGTTTTGTGGAGCAATGCAACCGTTTTCTGAGACATTTTGAGGTGAGAGGTTCTAGGCAGCATAAAGCAGTAAACAGAATTTATATGTCATTTATATATGTGTATCTAAACACAAAAAATGTAATGTATTGCAGCTTACCAGTCCTAAATGCTGTGGCTGAATTACTTTTCTTTTCTGAAGCTAAGAACATTTTAGCAAGTACAGAAAATACCTGTTGATCCTGCCAGGCCTTGTGACTTCTTTGAGCTGAAAAGAAACTTCTAATCCCATCACCTGCCTTCCTCTCCTAATAGAGACAAAGATAGATACCTGTAAGTGGTGTTGCCCCAAAAACTTGGCTGTTTTTAAATAACATTTTATCAACAATTAAAATCATTTTGGACTCTTTTTATCCTATTTTTGTCTGGTGCGCCTTTCTTTGTTTTTATGGTTAGACCAGTTTGAAGTCCAGCTTGTGGGACAACCATAGCTGCCTTCTTAGATGCAATAGAGAAATTAGCGTAAGACCACATAAGGGCAGGAACTGTGTAATTTGCAGGATCACCGGTGAAAATAAAAAAAAAAAAAAGCGTGAAAAAAGAAAACTAAAGCTGGCCATACATGGTTCGAACATTTTGCTGGTTCATCAGAACTGGCTCAATTTTGATTCATGTATAGGCACCCTGGTTGTCAATTCACTGATCAACTTCTGTATAACCAGCCTGTCGTGTTTTTGCCCGATTGATCAGTGTCACAGACTATAGCCAGTAGCATTGATCATTGTATTCTAATGGCGAGGAAGACTTTCCACTGTCAGAACACAATAGCACAGCGGGAGGATTCCCCCATCCACATCAAATTCATGGATTGGGGAATCTGTTAATTTCCTATTTCATTAAACTCGCTGGTTGAACAAAAAAATAAATGATGAATGTATGGGCTGTCTAATGCAGGACATCTAAGGACTAGTAAGCTGCAATACATTACATTTTGTTTTTGGGGTTAGGTACACTTTAACTTACAATAACTGAAAGTATAGCAGGTTGAGACAGCAGAAAAGCAGCAAAATCGGTACCTGGCTGTTATTTGAATATGTCGACAACTAACTTATACCTTTGTATGGTTATGTAGTATAGGGCCTGTGATTACTTTACAGTGTTAATTTATAAGTGTTACTCTAAAAGTATGTCTGAATGAATTGCTGTCAAAATATGCAGCAACACTACAATTTCTTTAAAAAATAAAGTTTCATCTCTTTTATAATAAAAAGCTGTCCTTGGACTTTGGTCCAGTGGCTTTGCCTTGGGTGTGATAATGTCATCAGTCTGCTGCAGGCAGGACGAAGCATTTCCCCAGTCTCCTCTCCCACAGTGAACAAACTGCAACATTTGAACTTTGTAGCAAGGTGAGAGACTGCAGCAGGGGCTGATCTGTGATAGAGATTTGTGAGCACAAACAAGAATTGCACAAGTACCAGGATTTAAATGATAGTACCATCTCTGAGCCTACATCTAGCAGATGATAATGATGGATGATGCCTGAACCAAGCTGGTGCCATCCTTTGGAAAAAAATTCAGGTGAAAGCATTGTCAGAGGGAGTGCTGTGATCTCTGTGAGAGGTAATAAATACCTGGAAGCATTACACTGACTCATTACTTAGCATGTTGCACTGAACATGATTTATAAATATGATGCTAGGTCCACTTTAAGTAAAACACTAGGCCCTTTATTATGGGAAGAAGTGCATGGGGGGCATTTTATTGAAACCGTTAAAGTGGGGAAAATAATTGTTTGATCTCCTGCAGATTGTGTTAGTTTGCCCACTTACAAAGAAATGAAGGGTCTATCATTTTTATCATAGGTATATTTTAAATGATAAAGACAGAATATCAACCAAAAACCCAGAAAAAACACACGATACCAATGTTATAAATTGAGTTGCAGTTCAGGGAGTAAAATAAGTATTTGATCCCCAAGCAAAACATGAATTTGTGCTTGTCAATAAGGGTTTCGCCACCAAGTACAGAGGTAAGACGTTTCTTGTAGTTGGTTACCAGGTTTGCACACATCTCAGGAGGGATTTTGGTCCACTCTTCTTTACAGATCTTCTCTAAATCCTTAATGTTTCTTGGCTGTCACTTGGTAACTTGAAGTTTCAGCTCCCTCCATAAATTTTCTATAAGATTAAGGTCTGAAGTCTGGCTAGGCCTTTCCATGACCTGAATGTGCTTCTTCTTTCCTTTGTTGCCTTGATGGTATGTTTTGAGTCATTGCCATGCTGGAAGACCTATCCATGACCCATCTTCAGTTTCTGGCTGAGTGAAGAAGGTTCTTATCTAAGATTTTACAATACATAGCCCCGTTCGTTGGCCCCTCAATGCGGCAAAGTTGGCCTGTACCTTTAGCAGAGAAACCACCCCAAAGCATAATGTTTCCACTTCCATGCTTGACTGTAGGGATGGTGTTCTTAGGTTCATAGTCAGCATTTTTCTTCCTCCAAACACGGCAAGTTGAGTTGATGCCAAAGAGGTCAATTTTGGTCTCATCTGACCACAGCCCTTTTCTCCAGATCCTTCTCTGAATCATTTAGATGTTCATTGGCAAACTTCAGATGGGCCTGTACATGTGCCTTCTTGAGGTGGGGGACCTTGCGGCACTGCAGGATTTCAATCCATGGTGGCGTATTGCGGTGACTGTGGGTCCAACTGCCTTGAGATCATTCACAAGCTCCTCTTGTGTAGTTCTGGGCTGATCCCTCTTTTCTCATGATCATCCATACCCCATGAGGCAAAATCTTGCATGGAGTTCCAGACCAAGGGCGATTGATGGTTATTTTGTATTTCTTCCATTTGCGAAAAATCACTCCAACAGATGTCTCCTTCTCACCAAGCTCCTTGCTGAGTGTCTTGTAGCCCATTCTAGCCTTGTGCAGGTCTACAATCTTGTCCCTAATGTCCTTTGACAGTTCTTTGATCACTTACCCATGATGATGAGGTTTGAATGGAAGAAAGAGATTCTGTGGACAGGTGTCTTTTATACACACAAGTTATCGTTAAGGGCACCTTCCTTAAATTGACAGGACTAATCTGTGTATCATGTGAGCACATAGCCAGTCTGTGAGACCCAGAATAATTGTTGGTTGGTGGGGATCAGATACTTATTTTACTCACTGAACTGCAACTCAATTTATAAAATTTGTATCGTATTTTTTCTGGATTTTTGGTTGATATTCTGTCTCTATCATTTAAATATGATAAAAATGATAGACCCTTAATTTCTTTGTAAGTGGGCAAACTTACAGAGTCTGCAGGGGATCAAATAATTATTTTCCCCACTTTATATATTAATGAATTTGTAGTTTCTGTTTGAAAATGTTAGCATAAATTTTAGTCTGTTGTACGATCAAAGTGCCACATTTTGTTCTCCGTGATGAGAACAATATGTTGTATGTATGTATGTTCTGATCTCAAGGGCGTGGCACATGGTACATTTATGGCATATCCACAGTACCACCCTGAGGCTACAGTACATCAATTATACACGTTTATTTATTTATGGTACTTGTATAGCGCCGTCTATTTACGCAGCACTTTACATATATATTGTACATTCACATCAGTCCCTAACCCTCAAGGGGCGTACAATCTAAGGTCCCTAACTCACATTCATGCATACACATACTAGGGCCAATTTAGACAGGATCCAATTAACCTACCAGCATGTCTTTGGAGTGTGGGAGGAAACCGTAGTACCTGGAGGAAACCCACGCAGGCACAGGGAGAACATGCAAACTCCAGGCAGGAGGTGCCGTGGCTGGGATTTGAACCAACGACCCTAGTACTGCCAGCCGGAAGTGATAACCATTTAGCCACTGTGCTGCCCAACGTTCTCTGTGATCCTACAGCTAAATATTAGCTAGCTGCCTATTCTCTCTTTTCTGCTTTTAACTGCAAACATCTCCTTTGCAAGTTATTGTACCCTCACATGCAGGACCGAGAAGCACTTTGAAACAGTTGCAGATGTTCTAATCTATTATGCAATGTGTGTATGGATAATACATTTTTCCTTAAAGTGGAATTTTACCTTAAAAGGGGCGTTCTGCTAATCCATCCCCTTCCTCTTTCACTTTTGGCACTTTTCCTCTTTCACTTTTTGCGGTAGAGGGTACCTATTCCTAGCAGGTACTCTCTCCCACTTCCACTGGGATCTCTTAGGGAATCCCAGCAGCAGTTCTACCCCTTCCCTTGCCTGCAACCTCCCGAGAGACATCACGGGTCCCAGAAGGCTGCGGGACCATTCACAGAGCCCAGTGCGGCTTGCACATGTACAGTGGGGAGCCATCTGTGAAGCTGTAGGGAGTCAGCCGGCTTCCCACTGTAAACATGGTAGTGCCGGGGACCCAAAGACTGGCAAAGAACCAGCCCAGGTGCGAACAGCACTGGATCCCTCAACAGGTAAGTGTCTCTTTATTAATAATCAGCAGCTATGGTATTTGTAACTTTTGAATTTCAATTATTTTTAAAAATAATTGAAGATTCTCTTTAACTTGCAGTAAAGAATATAAGTTGCGAGAGATTAGCAAACAAAATTATTAAGACAGTATTGATAAATGTCCCGTGAAATGTTTACCTCCCCTGCCTTCTAATAATTTCACAGCATTGTGTTCTTTATTAAAATGAACCTGCATTTAATATATATTCATGGATGTGGAAATGTTTTCTAACAGCAGCCCTGGTTACA